TGTATCTATATATTAACCAAAGGTATCTGTAGTGTCAGAGATTCATTTATAGTTAATCTAAACCAGAATGGTTTTACAGTACAAGCCAAAACTATTTCTTGGAAATCCTAAACATGATTCTGCACTGAACATACACAGTTAAGAAAGCTGTTCCTCACAGGTAGTGGTCTTTAATAAGTGAGTACTACATTGGAAAACAAAAAATTTTGAATATTGGAATCATTTACATGAGAAATGTAACCAGTAATCACAGAGAAAGCTGTAAGATGCTACTTTAATCCATTCTGCGTGCTTGAATTTACGCATTTACATATTGTCTTGAGTATTTCTTTTAGCTTATGTGAGAGAATAAAAAGCCAAAATCTTTCCCCATTTACCAGGGTAAAAATAAAAATCATATGTGCTTTCACAAAGATCCTGATATGACTGAACCCATCAACTAGGAAATTAAAAGTAGAGAAACAGAAGAGTATATTTATGTCAATTTATCTCCCAGGGATGGGGTAATATTTCCACCTACATTATCTCAGTAACACAGCCACTTTTTTTCTTGTATGGGTTTCATCTGAACTGGTATTCAGTTCAGATGCTATTCCTGCCTCCTCTGACTTCCTTTCTATTATTGAAAGTATCTTTTAATAAATTAAAAAAATCATCATTTTACTCATTTGAAGCAATAGAAACAAGACTCTAACCAGCACCCCTGGAAACTCATGAAGAAGTCAAGAACCACGAACTGAACTCTCATCAGTTCACATTACCTGAAACAATTAGAACAGCAGATAAAAGCGTACATGAAGGAAAAAAGACCCCAGGCCAAATAAGCAAACACCTAAACTAACAGTGAAAAAAACCCACCCGAGATCTTCCCCATTCACACAACTGAAAATGAAATCACTACTTTCCAGTTCCTTGTCACTGAAAATAATAAGATAAATGCAATTTACTCCGATTAGTGAAACATTTTTCAAATACTAATGACTCTGAAATGTACTGTGAAGTGAAAATATTAATGCATGTGTCATATGTTTACAAATATAAAGCAAGCACATAGTATGTGCAAACTGTGAGTCCCTGTTTTGTTGTTCTGATTTATTTATACAGAATTAATGGCTGTACATAATTTTTATCTATTCACCTGTCTCAAAACTGAGTCCCACAGTGTCTTGTGTTGACTCTTATTCAAAATTACATCCTCTGTATTTCATTTTTATTTCTAATCTACGTAGTACACTAGTATTTTTTCACTTTGAAGAAAAATTATGTCTCTTCTATTTTTTACAGGTTTATATTGCTATTATTAAATGTACACAGCCATAACAAAACCTAGATTATAACATTCCTATAGTTGTTACATATTTTCCCTGTTTGATGAATCTAGACATTTACTGCAAAATTCATATCCATGGGAGAACATAAGTGCTTTTCACCACTTATTAAAAAGAATTTCTAGAAGTTCAAAAATTCCTCTCATCAAGAATAAACATAATCAAGAAATTTTTACTACTTTTCTGCAGATTTCCAGGATTACAAATCAATCCACAGAGTTTAACAGCATTTTTCCAGGATAGGTAGATGTTGATGATAACCATAAACTATCTAAATAAAAATATTACTGTATTTCATATCTAAAATTACTGATAATAAAAATGACAGTACTTTCCATAACTACAAAAATGGTTTTTGCTGTAATGAGCCTGGGAGTGAACACATGTGAAAGCAGTAGGGAACATAACAGGATTATTCTTTGTCAAATCTCAGTTGGAAGTACTTTAAAATTTGATTTATAAGTTGAAGTACAGGTGCCACTGGTTATGTCTTCCTTCCTATCTCTGAGTCAGAATCTGGCCCAGTAGTTTTCCGATACAGCTAACATGAACAGTTTAGTTCTCTGTTGCTGTGCAGTTGTCATCTTAGCTATACATGCTGTTAGGTATGAAGAAAAACTCCAAGAACTTCCATGAACTAAAACAAGTGACTAATTTTTAAAACCATTAAATATAATGTAGAAAACAAATTTGCTGGTAAACTTTTGAACAGAAACTGAGTGGAAGTATTTACTGAAAATTTTCAGCAGTCAAATCTAAAAAAATTATTGTATTCTACAAGTCTGTGGTTGTTCAAGGAAAAATATTTTTTCCTATTTTATTCAAATCACTGTACCTAATATCATTTCAAAACCAAAGCAAAACAAACCCACTCTCCCAACCCAAAAACCCAGAAAACAATATGGATCTAATAGAATGAAAATGAAGGCAGTCCCAGGCTGCTTGTGGAACAAATTTGTAAAGGTTTTGGGGATAATTTGCAAAAGGTGTAAAACTGAACTACAATGTGGATATTTTTACAGATTGTAGTAAATAAAAATTAACAGTGCCTGAATTAAGTATCCCCCATTCAGAAATTGCTGAGAAATCATGTATTTTCCTCAGAAATAAGCATAGACTGCACACATGAAATCACACCACTGATACATCATATTGATGGGTAGTAAACCATGATGAGGTTTCCTTGAATAGCCATAAAGTGATAAGTCTGATGTGGTAAAACAGATCCGTCTACACTGTACACATGAAGTGAGAAAAGTACAATGAATAAGTTGGTAGATATCTGTTTAAAATCTGTCTTCAGCATAGAAATTGATCAAATAAATCAAAATAGCAAAAATAATGTCATGAGCCTTTAAAAAAAATTATTTTCTACAACACCTTCACACCACACAGTGCAAAAGGGAGGGTATTTTTAGGTGAGAAACAAAATAATTCTAATGAAGAGACAGGAAAGCAACGTGGTGAGAATTCCTCCTCCGCTTAAAAGCTTTGGACTGTCAGTTTTTGTAGCAACTACAAACCTCCCACTGAAACTGATCATTTATGGCCTTTTCAATTTTTTTTATTGCAGTAACTAGAAGCTTTAATAGTTTTTTAAAATGACAAATGATTAGCTGCTCTACTGCCCAACTTAGTCATTTATGCCCACGAAAGGATGTTTCCAAGACAAACGTTATTTTAGCAGCAAGAATCCACATTAGAGGGGAGTATTTTGTCAATACCCACAGAAGAGAGGGAACAAAAGCAAAAGACAAAGCAGCACAGCAAAACTGGCAGGCAGTTGGTTAGTTGGTACCAATATCTTTGCTGAAATATTTAGAAAAAAGTGCTGCTGTCACTGCTGTCCCCCATCACTCCAATGCCACAGTGACTCTAAAGTTGAATGCTGACTGATCCTTGAGGGTCTAAAGGCTGTTAGAATCAAGCAAAGGGGAACTGGGATTTTGTGACACCTCAAGACTGTCTCCTGGCCCATAGAACCACAGCAAGCCAAGGCTTTGTCTAATGCAGTCCCTCTGAACAGACGGAACACCTGCACATTGTTGCAACTGCTGGAGGAAAATGTTTCCAGTTGGACTTGCAGAACGAGACGAGGGGAGGCACAGGTGCAAGAGCACAGCAGTGGTTCTGAGGCAGGAGACAGGGAAGGTGAATTAATGGAGATGGCAGCCTGGGGCAAGTTTGACAAGGTTTGGAGCATCCTACTTTAACCTCATCTTTACAACCTCCAACATTAGCGAGTCACAGGATCCTCAGGCAACCCATTTAACTGTTCCAGGTTAGAAATATTTTCCTAATGCCTACCCTAAACCTTGCTTGATGAAACTTGAATCTGTCCTCTCTTATCTAACAGTTACGTACATAAAAAAGAGGGTCTTCCCTTTCATATCTCTAACAACATTTTACATATTAAGACAACAACTCCATTTGCCCCTCATTTTATTTTATGACAAAGGAGATTCTTTCCCTCATTCCTGACAGGCCACATTACCCACACTGCTGATTACCCCCATCTCTCTGCTGAGGTTCCTGGTCTCTCGACCAGTGCCACACACAACCCAGAGGTATTTTGAGCCCCACCCAGGTCATGTTCCAAGTGCTCCAGCACAGTGTTTGCTTCGTCTGATGAAGCACAGCACTGCCAACTCATCTTCTGGTTGTGATGATGTATAAAACCCCAATCAAAAACAAAACAAAAAAAAAATCACCCAAACAAAAAAAATCATAGAACAAACCTAAAAACCCCGTTACCATAAAAAGGGCCACAAGTCCTGTAGCTGCAGCCAAACTGACAGCTGGCAACGTTTTGGGAATTCCAGTAAATTTCCTAACATCTTGATAGAGAATCAGAGAATTCTTAGGGTTGGAAGGGACCTCTGGAGATCATCCAGTCCAATCCCCCTGCCAAGGCAGAGTCACCTGGAGCAGGTGTCCACGTGGGCTTGGAATGTGTCCAGAGAGGGAGACTCCACGATTTCCCTGCTCCTGTGCTCTGCCACCCTCAACGTCAGGAAGTTCTTCCTCATGTTGAGGTGGAAGTTCTTGCGTTTTACTTTATGCCCATTACTCCTCGAATACTGGAGGCCGAGCACGCTCACCTCCTGCCGGCTGCATTGCCCGCTGGCCGCCGGGGCACTGCCGGTTCACAGTCAGCTTGTCACCCACCAACACTCCCAGGTCCTCTCTAACAATTAGCAACCACGAAGGCACAGGCTAATTACGGCGGCTCCACGAGCAGCCCCGACCCCCACGATCGCTCCGCTCCCCGGACCACAGGGGGACCGCCCGCCCCGGTACCTGCTCCGAGTCTCCCGCCGCGGCGGCCATGGCGCGGGGTCCTCACTCGGGGGCTTCTTGCGGGCGCCGCGGGGCGCCTGCGGATCGCCTGCGGATCGCCGGACATCCCCTGACCGCAGGCACCGAGCTGGACTGGGGGGGATAGAGGGGCCAGGCGGCGGCAGTGACCGGGGGAGGTGCGGGAGCGGGCGGGCGGGGCCCGGCTGTCCCTGCGGTTGGCGTTTGCTCGTGCCTGGGGCAATAGGGGCGCTCGGTGCCGCGGGCGGGGCGGGGGCGGTGAAGTCGTTGCTCCGCAGGGCTGAGGCGGCGGCACCGCGGGGCTTTGGGCGGGACTGGTTCTTTCTGCTCAGGCAGGGAGAGGGACAGCCCCGGGGCGGGAGCGGAAAGATGGCGGCGTCCCTGCGGCTGAGCGGGGAGCGGGCGCTGAGGTTGCTCCGGGCCGGGCGGGCGGCGCTGGGCGCGGGGCTCCCCGTCGCCGCACGGGCGGGATGGAGGCACCTGCACGGCACCCTGGAGCTGCTGGGTGAGTGACAGGCCGCCGTGATGGCTGCCCTGCTGCAGATGTGCGTGCGGCGACCTGCGACGGGGAGTGAGGAGTGAGGGCGGATTGTTGCGGTGGGTTGACCTTGGCTGGGTGTTTGGCACCCACCACAGCCGCGCTGTTACTGCCTCCGCATCTGGACAGGGGAGAGAGTGTATAAGAGAAGGTTCGTGTGTTGAGATAAGGGCAATGGGAGGTCACTCAGCCACTGCTGTCGTGTGCAGAACAGACAAGACTTGGGGATAGTAATTGAATTTATTACCTGTCGAAATCAGAGCAGGATAATGGAAAGTAAAGCAAATCTTAAAAACACTTTTCTCCTAGCACTCCCTCCCACCCCCAGCGGTGCAGGAAGACGGGAATGGGGGTTACGGTCAGTCCGTCCCGGGTTGTTCCTGGCGCTGCTCGGGTAGAGGAGTCGGAGTCCTTCCCCTGCTCCAGCCTAGGGTCTCTCCCACGGGAGACAGTTCGTCCTGAACTGGGCAAAAAGTGAAGGCTGTGCGAGGGCAGGGAGCTGTGAATGCCCGGTGTTGCCTGGTGGGCGTTGGGGTGAGAGGCCGCTGGTGCTGGGCAGAAACTGAACCGCAGTGATAGGGAGGTGGATGAGATGGGTTTGTTTGGCAGGGTGCTCTTTGATTTGGTCTCTGGTGGCACTGCAAGTCCATTAGGATGTGTACGGGCTGAAAGGAAAAATTGCAGAGAGAGATGAGAATTAGTAAAAGTAAAAACACCTGAAGGAGTTGGAATCTAGAGAGGAAAATGGAGTGATGGGAGATTAGGCCTTCAAATATGAAAATGTTCTCTTGTGGATAAGGAGAAAAGTTCTTACTATGGAAAATAGGGAAGTGTTTTCTAGGTGTTAAGTATAGCTAAACACTAAAAAAAAGAAACTTTTTAATTGGTTTAACTGGTGGTTTTTTGGGTCCATGTTTGGAGATTCCACCACACTTCTGTCCTCTTACTCTTCAGGTAATGTTTCAACTAATTAGAGAAGGGCATAGAATGTGTATTTTATGTAATTATTTTTTTCCTTTTTTTATTTAACAGAGAAGTGGAGTTTGTATTTATTAATTGCATGTCTAGCATACATTACCACATAGGAATCAAGGTGTGAGGTTATGACAACAACTTTTCAAGATGCATTTTTCAGGAGTTTTGTTGCAGAATTATCAGGCAGATCATCAGTTTTGGATGCTGAAATGAAATGTAATCTTTCCCTACTTGATCTGTAAGTTACAAGTTGTAAAACATTTAAACAATAACCAGGTGCATTGTTATGAGGTCCTGGTGTGATGCTGAGCAAGAACTCTTTGGGTTTTAAGTGCACTTATAAAGAAATAAGTTTGTGTAATAAAACTCAGTAGTAGTTCAGAGACTTTTTAATGACTGTGGTTTAGATCTCAGTATTCCCTTCTTTCCAGCACTCGTTGCTTTTGCAGCTTTGCAGTATGAAAATCTTTTCCTTTTGCGAAACCTGCTGTGTGGGATATAGGGAAGTCTATCCCTTTCTTGAAATGAGTGTTACTTATTTTCAAATTTTATTAGAAAAAATTTGCTTCTTTCTTCATATAATATGTTTGTCTTTTTGCCCAATGCAGGATTACCTACCTTGAAATTAGTCTTGTTATTTAACTCTTTAGAGACCTCTTGTCTACAGTCCTTCCACGCAATCTTTGTGGTGACTGTATTTTATATCTAGTTGGAGTTAAATTTCTAAATTTGGATATGGAAATGAGTGAAACCTTTTTTACTTCCTTACAGTAAGCTTTTGTGTTTTAAGGTGGATATATCACTCCTTTATCTCATTCAGTCTTTCCTCTCTGAAACCTTCTAATATTCCTTACAGCTTTTCAAGGTGGTGGATATCTTGGTGACGTTGTCTTTCTTAAATGTTTATTGTGGCCTCTCAAATGAAAACAAAGAGAAAACTCATGTTTTCTCTGGTAAACTACAGCTCTTTTGGACATAAAACTCACTCTTGGTTCCTAGTTTGAGAATTTAAAGTTAAGTCAGTTTTATTTTAGCATTAGTTTTATTTTTTCTCTTTTCTGATTCTGAAAATGCCACCATTTGAAGTATTGGCTCATATCGATCTAGTTTGGTTGTGTTACTTTAGTTTTTTTGTTTCTCTCCGTGTTTCTATCCTTGTCTGTGGTGGTGGTAAAGTTGTCTTGCATAATTAAAACAATTAATTCAGAATGGAATTCCTAGTTTGTTGGTCATAGGGAAGGAAGAAAAATAGAAAATAGAGAAAATAGAATGACCTCTTTATGTTAGAGGTCTGTCAATTTTTCTTTTGTTTTTAATGTATCTTAGTCTTAGAATTGGTGTCTAGTTGGGGTAAATGTTTCAGTTATTGACTACAGAGTATGTATTAGGAAGTTATGAAATACCTCTCTGTGGGGCACATTAAAGCATTTCTCTTCAGTTCACTGCAGGCTTTTTTGGTGTGAAAATGCTGTAGCTGGTTCCATATCAAAAGGGGACAAGAACAGGTAATAAAACTCAGTTACGCTGAGTAAGTTTAAATACAAAATTCCCTGTCATTGGGATTCTTAGATTGTAGTTTATAGGAAATGATAGAGGTCTACTGGTCTGTTTTTGTCTTAAAGCCCTGCTCTTCTCACTGTTTGATATACAGCCTAAATATGCATTGAATCCCTTCATGGAGAAGGTGGAAAGCTGAGGAAAGATGAAGGAAAGGATTTTTTTAAATTACCATTTTATTTATCTGAATTCCCATTTAGTAGAGGTTTTGCAGTTTTTATGTAGTGTCAAGTGGGTTTATTCTGTGTGGCATGATTTTGTTTTAGTGAGACTGTTAGTAATAAGTAGTTAAGTGCCCGGGAAGATTGTTAACTACTGTATTGGCTATTAAAGATGTAGTCAGAGACCTTCTAGGTCAGTTGGAGTTCTGCTTCTCCATTACAGTTACCAGTCCTGCTGAAGGACACAACAGTAGAGAAGGTGGCAGTTTCTCATTTTCAGACTTGACACGTTCCCTAACTTTTTTTTTACTTCTTCCTTTTTTTTTTTTTTTTTTTTTTTACTTTTTAATGGGTACTTGCTGCTGAATCTTCTCTCCTGACTTGATCAAAGGACCAGAATGGATTGTATGTTTTGTGGTAGTGGCTCATAACATTGAAGGGAAAATGTTGCAGTTGCACAAATTTATTGCTCAGTTTTGTATTTATGCCAAAGTATGAAGCATGTTCTGGGAAATAGATCAAGTGGCTCTTCGTGGAAGTGAAACATGTAAACCACCATGTTTAAAAATTAATTTTTTCCTCATTAAAAATGTGGATTATTTTCACTTTTTTTTCTGGGAATTCTATCCACTAGTTCTCGGTAGTCCTAGATATTTGTGGGATATGACTTCAAAATAATGTTTTGATAGTCAAAGTTAGCCTTGTCGAGTTAGACCAATGAAACTGAACACACTTCTTTGCATCCTGTAATGTATTCTTTTTCTGCTTGCTGCTATCTGTAAATACTCTTTATAAGTAAATATGTATAGTGTAAAGCCAATTGTTAACTTGTAATTTGTCAGTCATTTTTCAAATAGTACAAAATTATATTTGGAAAATGAACATAGATAGGCATTCACATACTTAATGTTAGTCCATTTTTTTGTGTATTAGTCCAAGACAAGAGGTTGCAAGAATAAACTTTTTAAAGAAAATCCTTGAAGGTAATTCGTATGGGACTTGCCAGCATTACAAGGAACATTGTCTGGATAAATGTCTAAACATTACAGTCTTGAGTAATATTAAACTGAAAAACATTTAAGTACCATGATAAATCTGAGACAAAAAATATGTGTATTTGCTCATGCAGTCTTCTGGGAACATCATCCATGCAACTGGGCTGATTTCCACAAAATACAAGTGTTTGGGGGAGCATGATCCTGATTGTGTTGCTATCTGGGAGGGCTCTAGGGGGTAAATTACTCCCTTTCTGCTCTTGGTGCATTTTAAAATGTTGAGATCACTGATGGCTGCTTAAGTCATTAGGTTCACTACAGTGTTTCCATTTCACATTTTTTAAAAAATCACTGAAGGGTTTGGGTTGGAAGGTACCTTTAAAGGTCATCTAGTCCAACCCCCTGCAGTGAGCAGGGACATCTTCAGCTAGATCAGGTTGCTCAGAGCCCCATCCAACCTGGCCTTGAATATTTCCAGTGATGGGGCATCTGCCAACTCTCTGAGCAACCTGTTCTTGTGTTTCACCAAAAATCTTCCTTATATCTGGTCTAAATCTGCCCTCTTTCAGTTTAAAACCATCACCCCTTGTCCTGTTGCCATAGGCCCTATTAAAAGGTTTGTCTCCATTTTTCTTAGAAGCTCCCTTTAAGTATTAAAAGGCTGCAATAAGGTCTCCATAGAACCTTCTCTTCTCCAGACTGAACAACCCCAACTCTCTTGATGTTTCTTCATAGAAGAGGTGTTCCATCCCTCATCATTTTTGTGGCCTTCTTCTGGACCCCCTCCAACACATTCATGTCTTTCCTGTATTGAGGATTCCAGAGCTGGATGCAGTACACCAGGTGGGATCTCACCAGAGTAGAGCAGAGAGGCAGAATTACCTCCCTTGACTTGCTGGGCATGCTGCTTTTGGTGCAGCCCAGGATATGGTTTGCCTTCTGGGCTGTGAGCCAGAAGGCTGCCACATGACCAGCTTTTCATCCACTGGGACCCCAAGAGACACTTTTCACTGATGTCCATTGGAGCATTGAGACATTGCCCACTACACTCTGGATTGGACCATCCAACCAAATCCTCATCCACGGAGCAGTCCACCCATCATATCCTTATTTCACCAGTTTAGAGAGAACAATGTTGGGGGGGACTATATCAAAGGTCTTACAGAAGTCCAGAGAGATGATACCCATAGCCTTTCCCTTGTCCATTGATGTAGTCACTCCATCACAGAAGGCCATTGTGTTGGTCAGGCAGGACTTGCCCTTGGTGAAGTCGTGCTGGCTGTCCCAAATCACCTCCCTGTCCTCCATGTACCTTAGCACAGCTTCTGGAAGAAAAAGGACAACAAAGAACTAGAAGAATTTTGAACTGTAAAGCAGATAACGATTAAAAAAGAAATGAAAAAGGATAAATTTCTAAGTTTTTTTAGCTGTTTCTGCTTGCTCTAAGCAATATAGCAACTGGGAGAAATGTAGTGTTGTTTCCTATTGAATGATAATAACCCTTGTTGATAGATATTAGAGAAAAGGGAATATGAAGCAGAATTGAACCTTGCTGTTGTATACAACATACTTTTTATGTGTCTGTTTCTGTTCTCTAACTAAATACAGATTCAGACGTAATAGTTTAAAAAAGAGCCTCAAAAATGAGCCAGGTACTGGAAAACTGCTTTTACAAAATTGTACCTAAAAAGATATTTTCTTTTGGCGTCATAACTATTCTCGGAAGTTCAGAAAGGTAGTATCCCTTGTGTTAATGTCAGACTACTGCTTTGGTGTGGCGGATCAAGTGACAAGAGATGTAATTTGCTACGAAGCCAGGGAATGTGCTGTATTCCTGAGCTCTGCCCTCAGAAGAATCCACTAACATGGCAGGCAGGTTGCTGTTACACGGTGCTGTTTCTGTGTGTGGGTCTACTGAGCCAGCTCAGTCAACTGGCAAAGTGCAGTGACCTGCCAGCTGGCTGTGTCTGGTGCAGAGTGTTGCAGGGCCAGAGAGGTTATGCTGTTGTGTTGCTTAAATACATTGGACTCTTTAGATCTTTTTATTTGGCTTGTCAAAGGAAAAAAGTCTAAGAATTTACCTGTTCTCTCTGTAGACAACTACCCATGAGAAGAAGCACTAATGAGAAATTTTTCAAGCTTTTTAACAGATGCATAGGATAAAATCACTGAAACTTGAAATTAGGCAATTTCTGCTAAGTAGATATAGTTAGCTAGTAAAAAGTATAAATAAATATTGGAAAATATCAATGAAGGAGGCAGATCGTCAGTGCCTGAAGTACTAGGATCGCAAAGGATTTATTAATTTAAAAGATATGCTTTAATCTGGAAAAAATTCCACAGCCTGGGTTGAGGAGGAGGAGGATAGGAGAAAGAAAGTTGTAGTGCTTGTGGTGGATTTCAATATGATCAGCAAAACTTCAGGTCTAGGAATTCAGAGTTCTTGAATTTCCATTTCTTTTTGTAGTGTGCCTTGTCTTCCTTCGTGCTCCTTGGAGGGCATGCTTGTATGTAAACTTAAAAAAAAAGAGCATAATAGTGAATCTTTTGTTCTGTCTTTAAGATTCACGCAATTTTAATTTCATTTGTGTTAAGCAGTTAATTGAGAAAATAATTATACTGAAAAAGTATTTAGTCTGGATAACCATGTGCTTGTTTGCAGGTACGCCTGGTATTAAAGTTCTTATGCCTGCACTTTCTCCTACAATGGAAGAAGGAAACATTGTGAAATGGTTAAAAAAGGAAGGTAAGACAGCATTTTCTATGGCCATGTTTCAAAATTTTTCAGCTATGTAAATCTATTCTATAACAATAAGATTATTCTTTCTGGTTATGGATGAGTATTTTCAAGCAAAATGTTTGCTATATGGATGCTGTCATCTCGAACAATACCTGCTTTGAAATTGTTGGTTTCTGAAATGTTTTTCCTTTAGTTGCCTTCCAAAAGGTTGTATTGATCATATTTTTTAAAAGTTTCCATTAGGATGTCCCATGCTGTGGGTGGGTGTGTCGTTTTTAATTCCCAGTTTTGTCATGCTGATCTGTAACTTTGAAAGTCTGAGAGCCATTGACTTTGAGGAGAGTCTCTGTTTCATTATTGAGCTGTGACATGAAATACCAGGAAAGATGTGGTATTTTCATAGTTTCTTATTGGGGCTTCCTGTTTAATATCTTAATTATAGTCTACAGTTAAAGCTGATAGAAAAATCTAAATTACTTTCATAAACCTGTTTCTGAATGTGGAAATTTTTCCCTAAAAGAACCCAAACAAAAAGCCAAACTACTCCTCTAAAAAAAAGCCCTAACAACCCTGGTTATCTTAGGTTCTTTGTGCTCTGACAACTATGTCCTTCTGTTAAAATATGTTGGAGCAACTGGATAAGAAGGGTCAGTTTTGTCTTCTCACAAATTGAATGTAAATGAAAAATGATCTGTAGAAGAATCAGCAGTTTCTGTTCATCAGTTTCTGTTCTGTAAAGAGACCTTTTTCATGTCCCCTCCTACCCTTTCCTCTCTTCAATATAATATTAAAACTTAGTTTTGACAGTAACTTTGGATTCCAGGTAGCAGTTGTCCATTTTTACGGGACGCATTGCAGAGTTTTATATGACTGTAGGAGTATACCTTGTTCACAGACATTTTTAGATTTGCTAAAGAGATTAATACATCTGGAGAAGAGAAAATCTCGTAAAGGTTATTATCTTTGACAGATACAATTTGAATAACTAAATGTGTTTTGACTATCTGCCTAGGTAAACCGTTTCCTTTGGCTTATCCTTTTAAGGGTTGACACAACTTCCGTCATTCTGTTATGAGAGCACTTTTGCTTTTACACATTTTGAATATGTTTTGAGAGGTGACTGGAAGGCAGCTTGTTGCTCCAGTAGTGGATGTGACCTTTTGCTCATGAAACTTCTAGTAAGAATTTCTGCAGAATTTACTAGTAACGATATGGCAGTTTATGTCTATTAAAAGAAATTGCAGCAGTGTTCTTGAAACTTGAAGCTTCAGTTAATTGAGTCCAAGATTATGAAAGAAAGGAATGATCCAAAGTCCTTTTTCTATTCATTACTTTCCAATAATTGTAAGACATTAAAAATCAACAGCAGCCTGTTTGACAATAATTATAGCATTCAAAATTGCAAAAGAAAGCAAAGAGAGCATGGTAGAAGTTGAAGTAGATTCCTGTTTGCTCTACAACATGAATGAATAAGCTTTCCTCTTAAAAGAGGTGTTAGGATGCAAAAGCCATACAATGTTTTTTCTCAGTCTTTCTACTACACTTCTACCCTAATGCAAAAGGCAAAAAAGCTTCACACCTATTTTAGTTAATTAAAATAAAATCTTAATTGATGGTTGGACTTTGAGAGAAAACTATTTTAGTATTTTTATTGCTGGACTTTATATTTAGAAAAAAACCCCAAAACTGAATAAAGTATGTTGTCTTATTTGGCCACGTCTGTGACCAAATAAGTTCCTATCAACATCTTTTTTTCCTCTAATAGTCTGGAAAATAAACCTAATGGCAGCATTAAAAAAACCCTCTAGATAAATTTTGAAGAAAATAGCAAAGTGATTTAATGCTTGTACTCCTCCTCTCTGTAAGGGATGCTCTTAACTACTTAATCCTCCAGAGAACTGGCCATCTAAAAGTAGTGGCATTGCTGAATATAAATGTTTGATAATCTAATATCCAAGAAAATAAATATTTTTTAATCAATTGAAAGAAGAAAGCTGCTACCATATGAAGTATTTTTCCCACTGTATAACCAGAAGGGGTCAGTATAATACTATTTTGATAATTTTTCCTGTTCTTTTTGTAAATATCAAATGTTTTCATTTTACAGTTTCACAGGATGGAGAGATGATTTCAGTACTGCCGAAGAAAAAGCACTAAATTTAATTGACAGATTTACTTTCCTTCTCATTGTTAATGCAGTTTCATATTGATTCCTGTGGGTAATAAAGTCGTTCTCACAGAGATTAAAAATATGTTTTTAAAAACTTGTATTTATTATGTATGCATTTAATGTTGATGAAAGATGATAGACTGACAGCCCAGGAGACCAAAATCCTCTTGTTATTGTGGACAGGAAATAGAATGTACAACAGTGCTAGCAGCTTCCATATGCAGTGTAACTGTTGCCACCTTTTGAGACATCAGCTCCAGGGAGTTCAGTCTCTATGTTCAGTCGACTCTGATTTGATTTGCAAAGAGTACATTAAGGAATGCAGTTTGTATCCTGTGTCTTGGATACTTGTCTGTCAGTAGCTGAACAGAGCATGTAGGCTATTGAATGCCAATTGGATGTGATCTCCCACAGGGAAGCTCTGCTTCAGTAGAGATCCTGACCACTCAGCCTAGCTGTAAGAACTTATATTAAAAAAAATAAAAAGGCAAACAATCCCCCCCCACCAGATTTTTCAGGCAACTTCTGTTGCTCTCTCAGTTTAAAGTGTAAGAGCAAAGATATGCTTTGTAAAAGTATTTTTTCCAATCTCAGATATTGAGAAAGCTGATTTTTAATTGACATCAAAGCAGGCATTGATTAGGAGCTATAGCAAATTTTGTAATCTCTACTGAAAATAACTATGGTCCTTTCTATTGCACTTGGGTACTGAAACGTGTAAGACTTGAATGCTGCTATGATTTATTCTTAAAATTGCATTTATTAAATTGCCTTCCAAATTTATGACCACTTTATGGCTGCAGCAATGAAGGAAAACAAAAAAAGTACTGGAAAACTGGATTATTTGGTTGTCTGAAGACTTTTCCTCTTGCTCTCCCTATGCAAGGGAATCCTTAGTTTTCTGTGAACTGCCTCAGGTTCCCAAGATAAGAGATGTCAAGTGTGACAAACACATGGGTGAAAGTATTTCCTTTGTCTCTCTACACTGCTGGAGGTATTGCAGCAGGTCTCTTAGCACGGAGATTTCTTTTTAATGGTGCAGAACACTTACAGTCTGATCGCAGATTAAGATAGAGAGTTAAGCTCCTTTCTGTTTGCCAGTCTCAGCTCTGTAGATTACAGAATTTGCCCAACAATTTGATTTCTTAACAGCTAAGAAGTACTTGCCTAATGAGCTTGAATTAATGATCCAGTGAAATTAAAACACAAGTGTAGAGCCTGGAGTTCTGACTTCCTCGTATAAATTGTTTATGCTCTAATTATTGCAAAGTGCAGTGTGGCTGTTAGATTATTACATTAAAGAGATCAGGTGCTACCTTATGTATTTCTCTACCAATTTCTGTAATATGAACATTTATGACTTAAAAACTATGTAAGTGACTGAGTGTTGAATGCTTCCATTGTTTCCTACTGCAGAGATCGCAAGGATCATACAACATCTAAGTTTCCCCTTCTAATTCAGGTAGTCCCGAAATAGAAAATAATACTTTTTTGTAAAAGTATGTGTCTCTTACCTAAATACAGGTGGTAACCTGCACTAGGTTTGTTTGATGCTTAAGCACAATAGAGTGATGTCAGGGATTCAACTAAATGTTTAGATCAGTAATGTGGTTGCAGCATTTCTGGTAATGAGGAAATATTAAAATTTTACTTCATATAAAATTGTAGGCATGTTTTAAGCTTGTATGTATTGTCTCTATACGGAAAAAGTTGTATTTTGTTGGAGGTCAAAATGTTCAACTGCCTCAACATTTTTTATGTAATTTGAGTTTTAATGTTGGCCATCTAGTCAGTATTGATTTGTTGAAATAATCCAGACTCCTAATACCTTTATCATCTGCTAGCAGATACAGATATTCTTCAAAAGCAGCAGAAGAGTATGCTTCAGAATTAATCATGGATTTGTATAATGTAGCAAAAGCAATTTCTAGCACTTGTGCATATTTTTATTTCACAAAGTAAGTATGTTCCTAAAAGAACTTTCTTAACTATATAGGAGATTAAACAAGCTTTCAGATGTGCTTTCCCAAAGAGAATAAAATTCCTGGGGTTTTTATTTAAATGTCTTTAGTAGTGTAGATACTAGTTAAAGAACTGTGATACTTAAAGATGTTGTCGCCTGTGGCCGTTGTCTTAAACAGTTTTAAATAGCTTACTCTGGCTGGTGGCTGACAATGAATATGGAAGGGTCAGTATTTTATTCATGACAGTGTTCCTGAGTATGTGATTCTGGAAATAAATTTCATTGTGTGTGTACTTTCTCTTGGAAAACCTACTGTAAACATGAGTATTTGGAACATGTAACAGCAGTTTGTGTTTCTTGAATCTTGGCAGTTTTATTTGGAAAGGAAAGATGCAATATGATTAAAAACAATGGGGGAGCAACTAGCTATAAAATATATTAAAGAATATAAAATGACTATATTGTATGGCTAGATCTCTTATTTCTATAAGCTGAAAAGAAGTTTCGGATAAGTATCCTTAAGTTCTGTTATATTTTGCAGGTGAAACAGTGAATGTTGGAGATGCGTTGTGTGAAATTGAAACGGACAAAGCAGTGGTTACCATGGAATCGAGTGATGAGGGCATATTGGCTAAAATACTGGTAGGAATTCTGCATGTCTGAGTAGGATGATATAACTTCTCTTTAGACTGTTTTTTAGCATAGTTCCTCAAAAATTAGTTTAGATAACTGAATTTCTGCTCAGCTTTGAAAATAATGCACTTGCTTGCATTTCTAGGGAGAACTAATTGCTCTATTTGTTTCACACATGTACCAGACAACTGGTACATAGCACGTGATTCTATGTATATATGTAATGGATTTTCAGTTACCCTGATTGAATTATGTTGTTTTGTATGTTTTACACCTTATGAATTATGTTCATGCAATATTGTAGTTCATGACATCTCTTACTCTGAGTTATAGAAAACAAGTCACAATCAGTTAGTTGGAATGTGGAATTTTGGATGGTACTTTATCCTGGATGTGTGGTCTCTGTGCTAGATTATCTTGTGCTTAGCATTCAGGGTGGAACACTATACAAGATGGGCTGACCCAGAGGACACTTCGTGGGGTTAATAATTTTCTGTATTAAAATTAGATTGATTAAGCTTAATATAAAGAACGAGAACTGGGATGAGTGTGAAGTTCTCTGAAAATAATTTGGGAGTATTGATGTTTATGTGCATATATAACAGAGATAATGCTGAGTTTGTTTGGGTTCCTTTTTTATGTTTGACTTTAAATCCTGTTCTGTACCAAGACAGAAGCAGTAAGAACTGGACAAGAGAGATCAGGATGAAGGACTTGGTTCTAACCCTAGATTGCTTAAGGTCTGCTTGCAGGTCCTTTACATACAGTGATCTAAAAAGACAAGTTAAATTCTGTCTCTTTTCCTGTCTTCTCCTCCTTCTCTTTTCTAACATTTTTAAAAAGTATTTCTTATTTCAAAATGACCTGATGCTAATTCTCATCAAAATTAAGAAGGGTGGGGCTATAATTCTGTAGTATTCTGTTGCAGCTGCTATGTAGAAGTAAATATTACATTTCTGGAAAGCTCATACTTGATGCTTAAAAATTAAGGGAGACTTTGTCTTGCACATTAAATATGTAAAATGGAAATATTTTCAAGTTTCTTATCTCTGGGGAGGAAAGTTAAAGTGTATCATTAATTGTTTATAAAGACAGGGTAAGTATTTAACCTCCCTTTCAATATTCACCACTTCTATAAAATTTTCTCCAAACGATATTCAGATCTGTGGATTTCCCTCATGTGTCCTGTGAAGGCTTAAACTGTCAACTAGCCTGTAGCATTTCCAACAAGAACAAGGATATCTTTTTCCCTTTTAGAAATTGTGCAGCTAATCATAGATGATCTTAAATAATAAGTTTACTTTTTGTTCCAAAACATGTTTTCCAGATATTCCCGGTGCTTATAGGCTAGTCTATGCCTCACTTGACAGAAAAGAAGACGTGTAAATTATAGTCTGTGTTCCTTACGCTCCAAGGCTCCATCTTCAAGGTTTACTTGGGAGTACTAACATTTTGTGATTTTGTTTCTTATTTTCTCTCTCAAATTCTTGACTTTGAAATGTTCTAAACAGTCTCATTTCTATGCTGGTGGTGTATTGCAGCTGTTTCCTCTCTCCCTCTGCAATAATTAAACAATAGGGTGAATTGGAAGAACTTGAAATAAAATAAAAATGAGATGTGTATTTATAGTAAATATTATGTAATTTGATCAGGGGGGTGTCATCTAGAGAATATCTACACAAGAGGTGTGGATTGCATAATTATATATATTAGATATACTGATATTAATTGCAGTCCAACAACTTAGGAAACAGCAGAATGGGCATGAGTATGAACTAGTTCCTAGCAAATTCTTCCCTATGCACAGTGAGACACCTGTTTCTGCTGTTATCACAAAAGCTTTTTGGACTGGTATATTAGGTTGTCTATCTGTTCTACAGTTGCATTTTGTTACAGCAGCATGTATTTGTATAGTTACCCTTTGCAAAAACACAAAAGGGTGTCCCATGTGACAGCTTTTAAGAACTGATGTTCTGTTTAGAATCTTCCTTTTTTGTATAAGCAAAGGCAACATCCTTTGCAAAAATCAAAGCATCAAAATAGGTGGGGGGCTGGGTAGGGAGGAGAGGTGGTATAAGATGGAACTCAGCTGCAAGTGAAATCTATCAGGATTTACAAGAAATTGTAATTAGTGTTTAATTTCTACAGGATAACTTGCATGTAAGCACTAGTTTATATTAACAAGTAATATTTCTGTAAGTGTTTTCCTTCTTTTAATTCCACTGCTAGAGTATTTTTTCCCAGATGTTTAATTTTTTGGTAACACCTTGAAACCTCTGAGGTTTTGTTTTCAACTGTGGAGCAACACATGTAATAAGCTTCAAAGAATCTATTCTGCTGTCCCAGGATGAAGTCTCACATCAGATGTATTTTTTAATCTGTTTTTAATCTCCCTTTAGTTATTTAAATAATTGCTTAGTAATGCTTTCACAATTTTTAATTGTCTTCTTCAGCTTTGAATGTTTCAAAAAAATTATTTTGCACTTAATAGCCTAGACAAAAAACTTGTGCAACCTATTCTGCATTTGCAGACACTCCTTTGTTAAATTATGTGAGGAGGAGATATGGGCATTGTCTCTGTCAAAAGTATTAACAAATTAATCCTAGAGAAATATTAAGAAAAAAAATAGCAAATTCCAATATTGATTTTTTTTCAACTTTCTTTAATAGTAATTCATGATGACTACAAGTAACATTAGTATTTCAGAAGCTGTGTTTTTTTCTGTTTCCTGTCCTGTATTACAAATTTCAAAATTTCTTTGTGTGTGTTGATGTTGTGGCACATTTTTTGGTAGATCAAAGCCAGATTTTGCAGCATCTGTGTGATACCAGTATCATGGAGTAGTGACGTTCCTCCTTAGCTAGGATATCGATATCATCCAACCACAATCCTATGCCAAGAGCTGAGTCTGAGAAGGAGCTTCCAGGAAGTTGAAAATAACTATAATATCTTTCAGATTAAAGGGAGAGAGGCAGCTTTATTGGAGGAACATGAACAGATCACTATGCAAAGCCAAGCTTTAATGGATTCCTTTAATCCCAGGAATCTAGAGATGGTGGGCCGAAGTACTAGAGTACAGAATAGAAAGACCTTTATTCCAGTCTCCTAAAAAGTACAGAAGAAACCTAATGTTTTGAAAACAAATAACAGGAGACCAATAAGTTAAAAAATTTTTTTTTTTAATTTTTTTTCTTCTACAGCTCAGGTATGATCCTTGGTAGTCTTTCTGCATTATCCAATGGATATTTTTGCACTGTATTGGGTATTCAGTAGTTGTTTGTGAAAAGTTTATAAAATTAGCTGTGTCAGGTTTATGGATGGGGAGATGATTTCTTATTGAAAAGACTGTCCTTCCAAGGACCACTTAGAACTTTCAGATGTGATGTAGTTGATGGGAAATTAAGAATGTTTTGTGCCTCTGAGTTAGCATCTGACTGAATTTTACTCACTTCCTAAAAGAAATGAGAGAAAAAAATTGTGTCTTTTAATTCCAACTACAATTCTGAACCATCTTGGCTGAGTTCTGTGTGGAAGACTGAGTCAAAATAGCACACTGTCTGTCTAAAGTTGTGGGTTTTACCTTTAAAGATAGGAGGTTCATTAGGTTAAATTAATTGAATTTCTGTAAGCCTTCTTGGTTTTTCTTGACTGTATAATCTAAGTATGTATGATTTAAGAAATAGCAGGCTAACAGTAAAATAGAAAGTCATGCATATATATTCCTTTTCTGTCTGAATAGGTCTTTTAATGATCACATCTGATCAATGTAAAATGCAGTAAAAGATTAAATAACTGAATGAAACATTAGAAGGGTAATGTCAGAATGGTGATTATTCTTTCAGTAGAGTTGCTTCTCAAATTAACACTGATTTATTTTTTTTCCTAAAATATTTTAGTTCAATTTGGAACAAAACAGATGATGATTGTTTAAGAACTGTATTTAATTGTTGAGGAATATGTTTAGAGCACGTAACGGGGTGTGCAGCTGCAGTGTGAGCTGCAGGTTGTGCCCTGGGTGGGGGGAACCCAGGAAAGGGAATCCCAGGAAAGGGGCCATGACCTAGTGCCAATCCTTTGCACAACACAGTGCCACAGGAACCTGTGGCACTGGTTGGGTGACTGGATGCTCAGACACTGCAGGAGCCAACTACACAGCAGGAAGATCCCAGACTATCAGGGGTACAGACTATGAGAATATAAAAGCCCAGGGGTTCCTTTGTTTGGGGTCCCTCCCCAGAGGCACCAGCTCAAACTGGTTTTGTGTTACTGGGCCACAATTAAAATTGCTTTAAGAATCCAGGTCTCTGGGACTCTGCTGTGGGAAACTGAGGGCTGAGCTAGTAAGGAAACCTTGTCTGACTGTGTGGGGTGTGCAGGGAGTCAAGTGGGGCACCCATTGGGTCACTGGAGCTGACCGATGCAAAGGGGCTTAAGTCCCAGCAGTGAAAATCTGGGGTGGAGCAAACGTAACTGTCAGAGTGGCTCCTGGATAGTCAGACAGGGAAGTTTCCTTAACATTAATATCCATGACCATTTTCTCATTTGTGACCAAAATGAGAATTGGTGTGAACTGAAACTGCTTTGTATAAAAATTCCACTGCAGAATGAGGCAGCAGAAGTTCTGTCCATTTTTCTCCTAAGTGGAGGCAATAAACATTTACTTTATTTTATGTGTGTTAGTGACTAAAGCACCGTGCTGCCGTGGCAACAGTTCCAAGGGAACTTTATTTCACTGTGCTCTTAATCTCCTCCAATTTTTTCTCCCTGTCAAGGTCACTTGTGCTTTGTTGGTTTGTCAGCAGAGTTAGCACCTTTTTGACTCTTCTTGGTTATGTGTACAGACAGTAATAGAATCATAAAATCAGAGTGGTTTGGGTTGGATGGGACCTTAAAGTCATCTCATTTCAATCCCCCTGGCAGGGATGCTATTCAGTAGATCAGGTTGCTCAGGGCCCCATCCAACCTAGCCTTGAACACTTCCAGGGATGGGGAAGCCACAGCTTGTCTAGGCAACCTGTGCCAGTGCTTCACCATGCTCTGACTAAAGAAATTTTTCCTAACATCTAATCTAAACCTGCCCTCTTTTATTTTAAAACCATTTCCCCTTGTCCTGTCACTGTCTGCCCATACAAGAAATCCCTCCCACTCTTTTTTATATAAAAAAGCCCCTGGAAGGCTGCTGTAATGTCTCTCCAAGGCTGCCTCTTCTCCAGGCTGAACAATTCCAGCTCTCTCAACCTGTGTTGGTAGGAGAGGTGCTCCAGCCCTCTGGTCATCTATGTGGCTTGTCCTCTGGGCCTGCTCTAACAGGTCCATGTCTTTCCTGTGTTGAGGACTGCAGACCTGGACACATCACTCTAGGTGGGGTTTAACCAGTAGAGGGGCAGAACCACCTCCTGCTTACGCTGCTTTAGATGCAGCTCAGGATAGGTTTGGCTTTCTGGGCTATGAGCACTGTTGGCTCACATCCAGTTTCTCATCCATCAGAGCCCACAAGTCCTTCTACTTATTTCAGCTCTTTCTACATCTGAGATTCTTGGGTTCATTGAGATTTATGCAGAGGATTTTTGGTATTGTGAATAGTGAAAATGAAGCAATGACTCAAAAATCCAGGAGATGAAAAGTTAAGCAAAATTGTAACAGTTTGTCTATTCTAGTTCTGAGCTGCAAAGGCTCTGTGTTTAAAATCTTGCTTTGATTTCTGAATGCTAACTTGAGGTGTATGGAATTTATGGATATAGGTTAATATTCCTAACCTTATATTAGCAGTTATAGTTCATTTCAGTCTTGAGTCATCTTACTAATAATTCTGGGTCCATTCCTCCCATTGTGGGGTTCCATTTCCGAAGGCTTGAGGTGGATAGGGAAGGGGTTACTCCAGCTCCAGGGGTTTCTTCAGGGTCCTGGACGCATGGAGGGGTTAGGTGCTCACCCCTCCCCCCACCCACGTGTTCCCATGGCAGCCGGAGAGAGACAGCACACAGCACGTGGAGAGGAGGCGAGAGAGAGAGTTTATTGTGGTTAGGGGGTTTATAAAGCTCTTGGGAGGGTCAAAAGGGACCATGTAAGGTAAGGGGTCTTACAAAACACCAATCAGGCAGGGAACAGCCAAATAAGGAAGGGGTTAACAAGAGACCAATGAGAAGACTTCTTGATATCTTCTCAGGACATTCCTGAGACAGAGATAAGAACTGGCCGTGGGGGATTTTGGGAAGAAGAAACATGAGTTAGCAGAGACCACAAAAAGCCATTTTAAAACATGCTTAAACCACAGTTTTCCCATATAATGCAGGTTTACTGCTACAAATAATAGGAATAAAATGGGATATATTTTACTGATGAATTGTCATTAACATGCCTGAAACTTTCACATCTACCATTTTTAGTCATATTAGAGTAGGGAGCACAATATGTAACTTAATGTTCTCATTGCCTTAAATTTAGGTGGAAGAAGGAAGCAAAAATGTACGCTTGGGCTCGCTAATTGGTCTGCTGGTAGAGGAAGGACAGGACTGGAAGCAAGTTGAAATACCAGCTGCTGATAGTGATCCATCTTCTCAGGCTCCACCGCCACCTGCACGTCCCTCAGCTCCTGCAAGTCCTTCAGTTGCAGTTCCTCCTAAATTGGAACCTCAGCCTGGAAAACTGCAGTAGGTTTCTGTGTTTGTTATGAAATGAAACTCTTTGTTAGATTAGTATACATGAACCAAAAATAGTCTTTTATCCCTTTTTACCTTAAGTGATAGGCTGTTAGTTTAAGAACGTTTCAGTATGTGAGAGATAATAAGGCTTGCATGCCTAGAATATTTCTTTGCTTGTAAGCACAATAAGTCAGTTCAAACAATCTAATTTTATTAGAATAAAATGTACTTTTATTCTGACATGCAATTGCTTTATGAAGGATTTTAACCTTACAATTAGGAAGAAGTTGTGTAAATATATAATGAACACTAATGCTTATGCATCAGATGCTCAGTGCATCTATAACTTGTTTCCTATTTCTATTTCTAGGAGCTTTAAAAAAACCAAACAAATGGCACACTCTAAAACCCTTCCAAACTCTTGTATTTTTGATATTCTTCTAATTTTCATAACAGTGGAATGTGAAAAACTCGAAAGAGTGGGTTTATGTGGTCTTTGTTTGTTTTGTTTTGTTTTAATCTGTTAAAGTGCTCTAAGCATTGTAAACATTCTGGAGGGGGAGTCAGCCCCAGAGTGTTAATCAGGTAACAATAATCTATAAATCACTGCTTCATCTTGCAGGATATATCTTCTTTGGATTTATCATTCCTTATTTGCAGTGAATTGTGATAGCACAAAAGCTGTGATATTACAACCTGTTAAAGAAAAGATAGGAAACTAATTTTGGTAGCATGTGTTATGTAAACTTTGTAGTTTGAAGTTTTGTATTTTCTTGTTTGAGGGATTTTTCTTTTTTTCCTTTTTTTTGCCCCCAACCTCATTACCTTTTCAGTCTGGTTGGTTCTGTTTACTATGTGCTGGCAGCATTCAGGCTTTTCTCATGCAAGTGAAAGACAACTAATTGAGGTCATTGCCCAAGCCTTACCTGTAGTAGGAGGATGATCCACTGAAAGGATCCTTGAAAGGATTATGTCTTACATTTTAATACCAAAGAATATCAGACAGTGATGTCTCACTGCAACTGTTAATTAGAGATGTATCCGCCTGTTCAGAACCAAGTGATCATTTTTGACATGCCTTTTTTTAGTAAGAGCTTAATAGACAGTTCTTAAAATTCAATGAGGTGCAAATACAGTCTCCTTTAGGAAATAATGAATTGGAGGTTTAGTGGAAAGACTTGAAACCAAGTATTTATTCTTTTATGAATATGTTGCTTTTTTTGTATCTAAGAATTCTGAAATATCTACATGTTGGCTCTTTTCCTCATTTCAGAAAGCAAGTCATGCTAAGGTGCACTGGGTACTCTGTAGCTATGTACTCTGCTTTGTAGTTAATCACATTTCTGTTTCCAGACAGAAATGTAGTTTCTCTTGATGTACATTAAATGAAATAAGTTAATTTTGTTATTTAAATAGTTTATTTTTTCCCCTCATGTCTTTAGGGTTCGTTTAAGTCCTGCAGCTCGCAACATTCTGGAAACACATGGACTAGATCCAAGCAATGTAACACCTACTGGGCCTCGAGGAATCTTCACCAAAGAGTATGTAGATATTTTGGTAAAGCTACAACCCCATATTTCTTTATTTCTTCCTTTGAAACTAGAGCAATCACCATGAGATTAATATCAATGTATTTAAAAAGCCTAGTCTTTGTTCTATTTTTTCCTGTGGATTGGCTTAGTTAAATCTGAAAAACCTAATGAAAAGATAGGGAGAATAGATTAGGAAATATTTTAAGAAGCCTTAATTAAAAAAAAAACAAACAAAACAAACACTAATATTTTTTATGTCCCACCTTAGCTGTGTGGTAATGCTGTCACATTTCCTGCAGCTCAGCCTAATGGTGACTATTGACTCCTAAGCACCACTGTGAGCTACCTTTGTGTATCTGAAGTATTTTGCTTCTCCAAGATGCATACAGAGCCAAAATAAAATACCAGTGGCGTGTTTTCTTTAACTCTTGGGGATTTCAGATCTTTTGCTTTTTTTCACTGAAGTTCAGTTATGAAATCTGGCAGGATTTCATTTGTTCTCATTTTTAGTAGACTGGGGAAAGCAATGAAGTGAAATGATAAGAAATTCCAGAATTCTGTTTTTCTCCTATTTTTCCTTTTTTTTCCTATCTACGATATAAAGAATGTTTGTTTACAAGGCTGTGGTTTGTTATGATCAGGCTTCTAGTAGTTTATTAAACTTTTTGAGTGTTCTCTTGTAATCATTGGCAGTCAAGCCTCTAAGTGGGGAAGTTGTATATAAAAACACGGTAGATCCAGTGCCTGTAGCCTTGAAATGATGCATTATCTTCACATGAGCATGTGTGTTATTGGAGGTGAGGATTTTGGCAAAAATAAATATTTTTATTCTCGGTAAAATTATTCCTTTCAACAAATGCCATCATTCTCTTACACAGACCTTTCAGGCTGCTGTTGTTTTAGTTCCAGTCAAAGACAGCCAGGACCAAGTCAATATAACTTGGAATTGAACCCAAAAAAGCAGACAGTTTTTTCAAAACTTTTTTTTCTCATGATCTTTGCCTGAGTTGAGATAAAATAAGGAATTGAATAGATATAATATCCTGTGTGACAGAAGTCATCAGAGATAGTTTCTTCTTAATTATGTAACTGTAACGGTAATTTATGATGTGTAACAAGACTATGGCAGGTGGAAACCCTCTAGGACTTTGAGCTAGTAAATTAACATTTCCTAGTTGTCATGGAGATGTAGCAAAGATTTTTCTGTAGCTTTGAGAATTATCTAGCAAAATAATTTCTTTTTAAAACTACTTTCTTTTATACAAAAGATTCGACTTTGTAATGTCTTTTTAAGGTACAGAATGCATGGGGTTTTTTAACCATTCTTTTGAAATGGGGTTAATCTTTCATATGCCTGCTATTATATTTGGTTTGAAATAAAGTGTGCAGATTTTTATAGAGAGCTGCTACAGATATTCAGGGAGATATTTCCTTTGCTACACTCACCAGATTAAAATAAACAAAGAAAGATAGTGAGTTACATGAGCAAGCAAGAATCTTTCCCTCAATTTTCTATCTTTAAATTCAATTCACTGTAAAATTTTTAATAGCAATAGGAATTTTTACTTAATAGCTTTCTCTGCCACAATCTGCTTCCTTAGTGGGCCGATACTTTATTTATTTATATGCTTTTATTTATTTATATTTTTCTTATGTGTCTGTGCAAGGTTGAATTAGTGTTGTCTTCCTCCTGCTTGTTTTGTTGTTGTTCTTTTGTGTTTTTTTTTTTTTTAAAGGAGTGGCAGCTTTTTTTTAATTATTTCTAAGCAGTATCCTTTGCTTTCTTCAAAAACATACTAGAAAACTGGTGTGTCAGTACCAAGTAGCTCACAAATTCTGTCTAAGGTTGTACCATGCTTCTACTCATCAGCTCAGACACTGTGTTTGGGGGAGCTATGTTAAAATTGATCATTACAGGCCACTCCTGTCCATTCCCATCCTATTTAGTGATCTAGGGATTTATGAATGCAGCCATGAAAAGGTGGGGAGGCTAGTTACAAAGAACTGTGTTTTTCTGAGGCCGTGTTCTTCCCATCGGTGCCTCCCTACCAGCTCTTGTTAAGTTACTGTGGTTTGGAATCTCTGCTCAGACATTTTCAGCTTGCAAATAAAGCACAGTGCAGAGATGCAGTGCTGTTTTTCTGGAGGTTATGTTCATGTGTATGTGTTGGTACAGCAGGATCTCTGCTGTGTGCAGTTTGTCGGCTGCCATTATGGAGGAATGAGCTCCTTCTATAATGCTAATAGGGCAATAAGTCTTATTCCTAAAAGTTTGATGTGTAGCATTCTCTGCTTACCGTTTTCCTTCTTCCAGGATATCTTACAGGAATTGAGCAAAGAGATGTGCATATGAGAGGGGATGGGGACAGTTTAGTAACAGTAACTGCCACCAGAGGAGGCTTGTGTCAATCCATACATCTCTTGTTGCACCTTGGATTCTTAGTGATTTTTAGGTGTCTGTATAATTGTCCATTTCAAGCTGAGTATATTTGGAATGCAAAATACTCCGTTTACTGTCACTGTTTTTTGAATTTTCACTAACGTGACTCTATAAAAGACTATACACTTCTGGACTAGTGGTAAACTGAAGTGTAACAGAGTTGCCAGAATCTGCATACTTCTAATAATAACAATTGGGTAAGGCATATTTTTGTTTAATAAATGTTTATTAGTCTGTGGTATCTTTTCTGAGAGCAGACTGCTCTTTCATGTTTGTTACCCCCCTCTCTGTCATCAATCTCTCTTGTTATCCTGTGTTGTTAGAAGTTTATAGACTTGTTGGAAAGATGTGACGAACCCTTGCTTTTTGCCTGACTTGTACTAAAACCTGTTTAATTTTATTTGGTTTGATGTCTCCTCCAACTTTACTTATATTCAGGCTTGCAGTGTTGCAACCATGACAGCTGTACCTGTTTTTCCTAATCAGTGAAATGGTGTGGAATTAGCGGGGGGGGGAGGGGGGGGAAGGAAGTCTATTCATATGTATGTGTAACAAATGTTTATGAATTTTGATTTTTATATATGTATATTTTGTGCATATTTGTATGTAATGAAATGAGTTTCAAAAAGTCTTAAGTGAATCTTCTAAAAATAAGCTCAGTTTTGGTAATACGTTTTTCAGTTAACAGACTAAAAGCCACCAAAACCAGATGGTCTCTCTTATGACTGCCAAGTTAAAACCCTTAAGTAATTTTTGGTAGCTTCTAATGTGTTAACTAAAAAAGTTGCATTATGTCACGCAATTGCTTTTTTTGTTTCAAATTATAATGGTAGGGAATGATTTTCATTCTATGAAATCTAATTTTTTTCCCTGATGTAGTAGTGGTGTTAAATACTAAACACTTAATTTTAAAACAAATTTTGGCTAGCATGTTAATGTGGGAAAACAAGTAACAACTTTTAATTATGTCAAATTATATCTTGAGCTCAGTTTTTATTTTTAATATTGTTTGCTGAAGCAAAAAATCATTTGTTGAGCTAAAAATAAATTGAAGCAAGTCAGCAATTGATAAAATGCAGTATGTAGAACATACAGAGCGTTTCAGTTTTCAGTTCTTGGTGCTGGAGTGCTACTTTCTAAAAAGAACTAAGAACGCATAGTGTTCTGAGATTTTGTTCTTTCTACATTTAATTTAATGAATAAATTTAATAACAAACTCTTGGCTGTCACTCAAGAATAGACTCTCACTCAAACAGTAATCCACTGAAATTAGACAGCTTTATTTAGTATTTATGGCTTGTGTTTCAAAACCATGGTAGGGTTGTAAGGAGTCTGATTTTTAATTTGTTTTTAATTTTCTCTGCCAATTTATGGAGTAAAACTGTGTATCTGCTGTGGTGATGTCTTCATGAAGTAATAGAGATTTATCTAAGGCACATGATACAGGCTTTTCTAATCAGATCTGGAGCAAAAAGAGGGGGGATCTACAGCTTACTTTCAGTTGCAGTTGGCAGTGGTGGTGTAAATGCAATCTGTTTACCTCGTAGGTGCAAATCTTCAGCATGCTGCTTTATAAATACAGTGTACCTGGGGTAGATGTAGTATCATGGTTTAAGACGGGAGTTACTCATGTCTGTCATGATGTGCCCAAAACAGAGAAAGGTTGTGGTGGTAGCTATAAAATCCTGGGAGAATAGAGTAGGCAAGGTTCAACCACACCTGGGACTGTTTAGATGTTACCCAGGTTTTGGCTTTGTTTCTCTAGTGTGGTGCTGTCTTTCACATGGCTTACGGAGTATGGACCTGTTTGCCATCTGTACCTGACTGAATGGCAGAAGGGTACAGAGAAATGAGTGATTAAATTTATTACTTAATTTTCAATTAGCACTAAATAATTACATTAAATTCATATTATTACAAATATAACAGATGAAACAGCTTTTACTTGAGACTTTATAGCCTGAATAAGTGTACTGTCTTTTTTAGAAGAATTGTTAGTGCAATTCACAAATCACTTTGTACACTCACTAATGATAATTGTTATGCTTCTCTAACACAAATGTTTTCTGTTACTGCATATTCAAGCCCTTTTATTCACAGAAGTTAATGAGAATATACTAAAAAGATACTACAAAAATAATATAAAATTAGTATCAGTTAACAATAATCACCTTCTTAATGTTGGTTTGGCAACAGAAATTTAAATGTACAGAAGTGGCTAATTAGTTAGAATAAGTGATGGAATAGTAATACTTAGGGACTTATTAAATAGTTTCTTTGTTGTCAGTATTTCACTGTGTTTAATCACCAGGGATGCTCTCAAACTTCTGCAAGAGAAGCAGAAGGGTAAACCCACTGAACTGAAACCTATGGTTTCTCCAGCTCCTCTCCAGCCTGCTGCAGTGCCTTCTGCTTCGCCAGCAACAGCTGCTTATCCAAGGCCAGCGGTTCCACCAGTTTCCACGCCAGGACAACCTGCTGCTCTGGTAACACTCCTGTTGAGATTTCAGCATTCTTACAGCTGAATGGTGCAATGGCTGCTTAAGTAACTCTATGAGATTTCTAGAACTGGAGAGAGGGAGGAAACTAAGGCCACCCAGATGGCCTTAGAAAGCCCAGTCGTGTGCAGCTGTTTTCAGGGATCCTAACGCAGTGTAATTCAAACTGTGAAATTCATGAAATTATGGTCTGCATAGTGCTTTGTGTAGCTTTCAAATTGAAGCCATGGAAAAACTTACACTACAGGCCTTGGAAATGGAAAAGTCAGAGAGGCAGCAGTTTTATTTCAATCCCCAAACAAGATGCCACTACTTTGGAAATCAACAATATTCTCTTTCCCTCAATCACTACAGGATCAGTATGTGAATGTGTATTTCCAAACTTGGAGAAACTAGAATCATGATTTGTTTTTACTGTACTTCATTCATTTGCTTTCTTGCAAGATGTAAATGCCCATAGATGAGTTGTCAAGAAGTGAGCAAGGAAAGGGCTTAGTGATTGCTTTGAAGAGTGATTTTGCAAACTTTAGCACCTAAATACAGTTTCTGTATTAAATTGAAGTGTTAGAAATACCAGAAAATATTTTTAAGAATAAATCATAGAATCAGCTGAGTTGGAAGGGACCTCTGAGATCATCAAGTCCAACCATTGATCCACTACCGCCATGGTTACTAGACCATGGCACTCAGTGCCACATCCAGTCTCATCTTAAAAACCTCCAGGGCCAGAGAATCCACCACTTCCCTGGGCAGCCCATTGCAATGCCTGATTACCCTCTCTGTAAAGAATTTCTTCCTAATATCTAACCTAAAGCTCCCCTGGCACAGCTTAAGACCATGCTCTCTTGTCTTACTGATAGCTGCCTGGGAGAAGAGACCAATGCCCACGTGGCTACAACCTCCTTTCAGGGAGTTGTAGAGAGTGACAAGGTCTCCCCTGAGCCTCCTCTTCTCCAGGCTGAATAGCCCCAGCTCCCTCAACCTCTCCTCACAGGACTTGTGCTCGAGTCCCTTCACCAGCCTCATTGCTCTTCTCTGGACTTGCTGAAATAGACATTAGTAGAAATGGAAAAGCTTTTGTGAAAATTTTCTGGCTCTAGAACTAGATTTAATGTATCTTTTTAGGCTGAAGTTTACAATGTACCTACAATTCATAATATTCAGTGCCTTTTTTTTGCACTGTACAAGGAACCAAGCAAAGAACACAGAAGCTCAAACTTAGATATTTTTCCATTACGGAATAAAACATTTCCATGATTGCACCGGAACATACGTATTGCAGTTTGTTGTGTGTTGAGGACCATTCAGTATGTACTTAGGATTCTATGACTTCTTATATGTTCAGCTGATATGCGTTAAAGATTAGGTACACAAAGTAATGTTTTACAGAATCACTTATGTTCTTGCTTTTTGTAGTCACTGGTATTTCAAGAGATTTCTTGCAAGTTGACTTGTTTCTGTGAAGAAGTTGGCTATTGAAACATTACTGAATATATCTGGAAAGAGAAAGAAGAATAAAAAAAAGATACAGTAAAGCCTGTCTTAAGGAACCACTCAGGGAACTGAAAAACAGTAACTTACTGAGGAAATATTCTATTATATTTTAAGTGAAACCAAATATAATCTGAGCAATATGCCAAGTCTGGGCAGATAGAATAGTGCTTATATACTTTGGTTGAAAATTAATGCCTCAACATTTGGATTTTTGGGGTTTTTTTGTTGTTGTTTTGAAAGAGGATTCATTTTATACTGTAAAATGAAACTATTGTGTAAAATCTGTTGTACTGATCCCAGTTAAGAGGAACAGGCTAGAACACTCAAAGGTCTTAATCATATTAATTTCAGTAGTTGGAATGTATCGCTTTTGGATACTTAGGGGATGTTTTAAGTGAGCAGGAGTCACTGATGGTAACACATAAATGCTGGAGTACTGTTTCAGCAGAGGGGAAGTATGTTTGCTTTCTTGATAATTAATATGCAGCATATGATTTCTTTCAGGGCACATTCACAGAAATCCCAGCTAGCAACATCCGAAGAGTTATTGCTAAGAGATTAACAGAGTCTAAAACTACGATACCTCATGCATATGCTGCTGCTGACTGTAACATTGATGCTGTTTTGAAATTAAGAAAACAACTGGCCAAAGGTTAGTAGTTTAACTGATTCACTGTAACATGTGCTACTAATGAATAGTTTGTCTTGTTTACATAAACTTCACCAGGAGGTGTAGATTTTTGCATAGGCAGGCGACTGTGCATTCAAATAATTTTTTTCAGTGTTCTGTATGTTGGACTCAAGCTGTAGTTCTCTGTGATTATTGAACTGGACAATTTATAGGATAAGATCTAGGAAGACAGAGGTGTTACTTTGCCGAGTAACACAGCACTCTGTCGACATCTGCAGTTTGGCGCAGGACTACACATTACCCAGTAGGTTTTTGTTTCCTTCCATCCAGATGCAGCAATATTTACTTCTTAATGGTTAAAATCTCAATTTATTCATGTGAAAGATAATAACGGAAGCTTCAAATTAAAATATGTTCATGCTCTGTACTTCTAGGTACAATAACAAAATTTAGTTTTGCTGACCTCTTTGTGGAACTAACTGGGAAAGGAAAGCTAAGTACATGCCAGCCAATGCCTGGTAAATTCTTCTAGAAGGCAAAGTAATGGTATTAGTGTGAAGGAAGCAGGGTTATCTCTTTCACTGAAATTTATATACATGCTTAAAGCTTATGTTAAACTATTAGAATAGAAATCTGTCCCACCGAAAACTGAATTATTTTAAATATACACTGAGAATTAGATTAAAGACTATAAATGTCAATATATATGTGTGTGTGTAAATTCCAATTTTCATGTGTCCACTCTGTCTTTTTTATGCAGAAATGCTTAAGTATAAGATCAAGAAGTTAAAATTTCCCTTTTTATCTCAACTCCTGTTCACTGAAGTGACTTACTTAGAAAAAGCTCTTAAAGCTTAAGATATAATAAAAAAATTACTTTCTTTTGGCTAAAAATGTTTTTGTTTTTACTAAAATCACCTGAGTGTACCATGGAATAGGATGCTTTAATAGTTTCAAAATTAACTTTGCAGACTAGAATTTTCTTTCCCAAATCTCAGTTCGGCAAAGTATGTATGACATGCATTTAAAAAAGATAAACAATCATTTTTCAAGGGAACACTCTTCAGGCAGGTACTTCATTTTCATGCAAAATATCACAGAAGTGGGTTTTCCTTAGTGTCTTTTTGTTTTAGAACTTGTATTTAGTTGGGTAAAAATTCTGAATGAATCTTCTGAATTTAAATGATTTTTATTATATTTAAAAATATTTGGTCAATATACTGAATTTAGTATTATCTACAGGAAGTGGCTCTAATTTAATGGTTGTTGAAGATACTAAACCAAAACCTGTGGAAACCCTTTAGGAAAGCTCTCCCTTTTACTCTTCTGATTTTCTCCCGCCTTCCGCTGTGGGGGAGCGAGTGAGCAGCTGCCTGGTGCTTAGTTGCCACCTGGGATTAAACTGTGACGCACCTTCACTTATCTCCTAAACTACTTGCAAAGTGCACTGCTTGTTTTTGCCTCTCTAGTATCTTCATTCCCTCTGATGCCAAAACTTGAGTTATTTTAAGCTCTCTCGATCCACGGATACATTTCGACATCAGACCTGTAAAACAGTTAATACAAACAATTGAGGTGATAACTGCAAAGTAAGAAGCAGTAGCTGAGGGGAAGGGAAACAAGGTGGGGGCAATGCCTGGCTGCAATTTGCGTCTTGTTCCTGGAGCTGTAATTCTAATACATTGAGAAATGAAGTTTGTCTGCAGCTGTCCAGGAAGAGCAGCCTTCTCAGGAAATCTCTCTGGTTTTAAGGCAAAACTTGATAAGTAAGTCAAGATAATGTGCTATGATTGCAATATCTGCAAGGGATTCTTCTCATCTTAAATTTCTATAAAATGTGAACTATTCTTCAAAAATAATCATTTTCTTCAAGTGTCAGAGGTTAAAAATATTGTTTACTTAATTGACCTCTGCCTAAAATGAAATCTCTTGCCTTTTATCTTCTGGAAACCAGTTGAGATAAGCTGATGTCTACTTTATCAGTTGCAGCCAAATTAATTAAGAATAGCTTTTTTAATTAATTTTCATGCTCTTAGAGGAGATGTCTCTTTTCAAATCAAATTGGGAAAATATTGATTACTTTTTCTTTTGATAGGTTTAGCTAATTATGCTGGTGAAATAAGAATTTATTTGTTTACAGAACTTCTCAATGCCTACAAAGTTTGGGTACTATTGCAGGCACAGAGATTAATCTCTGCCACTTTGTGCATTTAATTTTCAATAAATCATTCAGTCTAACTTAAGAAAACTCATTTTCCACAATGTTTAGGGTGCATAAGCAAGTAGTGAAGTTCTGTTTGCTGAAGGAGACATGCAGACACGCACCTCATAGACTGGTACTAAGTGTGTGGCTTTCTTTTGATTTAACAACTTTGTCACTCTCATATGATTTTGCTTTATAATATATCGTTAATCCATTTTAATGATTGACAGATGTCTTCACGTTAGTAATCATTTAAGACTCCAGATGTCACTGGAGAGTAACATATTTGTGATTCATAGCTGAATGAAAGCTGATCTCTGCAATTATTCCAGTTAATGCATTACATTACATAAAGATTATTAGTCTCCGGTATTGTCTCTGTATATTTAGATCCTACAGTAGGTTTCTACAGAAATATATAAATATGTAAAGCATAAAACACAGATGGGCTGCTACATACAAGAATGAGTATTAATACTCAAGTTTGCAAGTGTTTTGACCTTCTGGTAACAGCTGGCTAGAACGTCTCTGCTCGAGACTTTTTCTTGAAGATACTCCTTTTGTCCCAAGGGGGAAAAAAGTTTTCTTGCTTTTATGATTGTAGTTTGAAGATGAGTGACTTTCTGGCAGTGATTCAAAGAAGTAAATCTGCTGAATTGCTGGAATCTTGTCATCACACAAATACTGCTAAATCTTAGGAGCAATAATTGATGTCTGTTTTTTTTTTCCTTTTCTTTTTGCAGATGATATTAAAGTATCTGTAAACGATTTTATTATCAAGGCAACTGCAGTTACTCTGAAAGTAAGCAAATAATTGACTTTTAAAATATATTTTTGATAGTCAACTGCCAAGGAGACAAAAGTATTTTGTGAACCTCTGTGGAGATATGAATGTGATCATAGCAAAGTTGGTAATACTGTATTGCTTATTGTCAGATAAAATTCTCTGCACTCTCTTTGCTGTGAACTGAAAAAAATTAAAGGTGCTTATACTATAGTAACAGCTGCAGATAACAGTAATTGCTTTGTCAGCAGACTAAAGCAATGGTCAAGTCTTCTATTCTTTGTTGCATCTTATTTCTCTTACAGTTATAAACAAATATTTATCTAAGTCTTATACCAATCTTGTGTATACCTCAGATGTATTCTGATGGCATAGTCAGTGACACCTGCTTTGAAATAAAACTTCTTCAGGCAACCAGTCTTTCCTCATTGCCAAGAATTGACGTTGTTCCCTTTGTCGATGTAAAAATTAAATGATTGTTATACTAATTTCATTAGTATCTCCTTAATCCATGCCAAACTACAGAGGCATTACAGTAATCACAAGCTATTTGTATGTTCTCTGTGTAGACCGGGATACATTGCCTTCCAGTTTGTGTCTATTGCTCTGCTTGGAAAGCATTCTCAGTATGACTTAATTTCTTGAAACTAAAATGTTAGAGACATACTTCTTTAGGAGAACTCCCATGCTTTGGAACTACCTCCTCTTAGTCCAGGTTGTATCAAATATAATCACTTGGAAAACATAATGTAAAATTAATCTTATTACCAAACTTATGAAAAGAAAGAACCATTATGGTTTCACTTAGGTGTGGAAGGTGTTTGAATGGCATTTGGTTTTAATTCAGTTTGCACTTATTTTAAAATTAAGTCATAGGGGGGAGCTTTGACCAGCCTGAAAGCCAGGAAGATTCAGGAGGAAATAGTGTCTTTTAGTGATCACTAATAGCTGGAATGTAGAAAGATAATTAAGGAGGACACACACTTGATCCTTAAAACTATCCTATGGAGTTTACCCTTGTCATCAGGGCAATGTACTAATGTGTTACAAGGAAGGAATGCAGATTTTGAAGCAGTTTGGTGTTGCCATGAATTTGTTTCCTATACCTTCTTAAATGCACAGTGATGACACCTTCTAGCTATATGTTAAATGCCTAGAAAAGCTAGAATTTTCTGATGTCAGTGCATCATTTGAGCAGCCGTTTTTGAAACCTACTATTTTAACTATTTAAAAGCTGAGGGAGGAAGTTACATTTAAGTTGGGGAACTATTCCTGTTCTCATGGATGTATGGAATTAGGAGAGAGTGCTAAACTTGAATGGATTTGACAAATTTCTAGTCAAACCTGTTCTAATTAGTAACATATAATAGTAAGAGCTATAGATTAATGCATAATTGCAATCTGGACAGAAAATATACAGGATACTAGGCAGTTTCATAAGTAAGTGCCTGAGAGAAATTCTGAGCGTTAGCTAGACTAGAAAAAGAACTCCACGAGTTAATCAACACCAGAAACAGAAGGAGGGGCTAAATGTGTACTGTGCTTTTGTTAGATGTGTGCATAGCAAGAAGCTTCTTTTTGTGGCCCAGTGAAACCTTACATGAAAATGGTGGCATCCAGAATTTACTGTGAACTGCTAAGTGTGAGCATGGGATGACAGATTTCTGCACCAGAGAACAGATGAAAGGAACAGGAGGCAGAGAGCAAGAGGAATGAAATATTAGGTTATGTGTTTTGTTTTCTGAGTGGGTTGTTAGATTGTTTTTTAGGGGACATTAATATTGTATCAATATGGAAGTAATCAATTAATTCTTCTATCCTATGGCTTTGTTACAAATCTATGCTAGCAATTGTTTGACTATTAAAATAATAACTTTAAAAAACCTGAACAGATTTAACTCAGTATATCAGGAAGCAAGTTAATGATCAAGCTTATGTCTCAGCTATTTTCTGTCATCATTTCAGAAAAAGATGTGGGCTACTTGTTTAAAAAAAGAAAACTCACTTCCATCTGCACCTCCCCACCCTGAAATTTGGTGGTGTAAATGCATTTGCAAGTTTAAATTCAAGACAGCTTTATTGACTCTTTTCTGGGCACTGTTCAATCCATATTTTATTAATATTTTCTTCCTGAACAATGAAAAATATGCTCTTCTAGCTTTAATGAGCCAACTGCAGCTGGCTTGACAGTTTATGGTTGATTGGCAAACACATCAAGATACTGCTTGTATCAGTTCTTTAACATGGCAAGCTTCTCCCTCACACCTGTAGGATCACAAGTCCAGTTATGAGCTCTGTGGTTTGGCTTGGTCTTGCCGTTTGACAACCAGAATTTTGTGAATACGCCAGTGGGCCCACCAGATGATAGCCCATTAGAGTAATTCTGTCTTTCTGGAACAAGGAGGCATAAGCAAGGATGGAGGAAGGAGCTAAAGCTTCCAGGCTGATATCCTCAAGTGGTTGGGCTTAGTAACAATAGCTCCTATAGCAGCTGTCCTTTAAAAGTAAGTCTTCCATTGCTGAAGTGACAAACTCTTTGCCCCTACCATCTCTTTTGAATACCTTATATAGTCATAGTTGTACAGCACCTACTTGAGGGCATCTTACAAGTGTGTGTACTGTGGGACTTATGAAGTTTATTCAGCTTCCAAAGAGTAGTACTAATACTTTTTTTTTTTTTTAACTATACGTTCTGGTGTTGAAGAATAGGAATTGAAGATACTGTCACGCCGCTTCTTCTATGAGTGCAGTTAATTTAGATAGACAGAGATAGGTAGTGGAGTTAGTTTTGATAGAGATAGATAGTAGAGTTACTTTTGATAATGTGTCCCTCTCATACTTTTTTCTGGAATACCTTCTTCACTAGGAAGTCAACTTCCAAATTCATAATTTCATTAAGGTCATTAAATACTAATCTTGGATTTATTAGAAATAATTCCTTCACAGTATGTATGACCAGCTTACCTGAGGCTTCACCTATATGTTGGGATATTTTTTCCCCTGAGCTGTTTCAGCTTTACATGATAAACTCAAAAAACTCATGGAAATTATCGGTAAACATCTTAATTTTGATTGATTCCACACAAAAACAGTTGGATGCATTTTAGGAGAACCTTATCTGAATAACAGTGTGTGTACCTGCAGCATATTCTATTTGTAGCTTGTTTGTTGAGAGTCATGCCTGAGACACAAGTGGAAAACAACACTTGGGTATAGTAGGATGGCCACTTCCATGCTTTTTAATTCAACATCGTGTGATTTATTTTGGGTAATTGCACTGCTTTGAAGCTTTACATGCTGGGAAACCATAGGGTGGTATCAGTGAAGGAATTTGTAGGTTTTTGTTAATATTTTTTGTTAATTTCTGGCCATTTCTGCCGTTTTCAGTTTCTGGAGCATACATTTGTGCTTTTTGACAAGGTAAATTTAAATAAAATAAGGGCAAGCTAATTAATTTGGTGAATGCCTGTACATAACTATGTGTCTTAATACCCTTTTTCTTAACAGCTGATTACACGTTGTTCTTTGAACAGCTGTCTCTTTTTTTTTGTTCCCTGTCTGCCTTTTAGCAAATGCCAGATGTGAATGTAACCTGGGATGGAGAAGGCTGCAGGCAGCTGCAGTCCATTGACATATCTATTGCCGTGGCAACAGACCGAGGTCTCATTACACCAATCATAAAAGATGTTGCTGCCAAGGGAATACAAGAAATTGCTGCCTCTGCAAAGGTAGGTCTTAAATGTGCAGTAGGCTGAGGAATAGAGTAGCTACACTGTTTTTTGTAGCAGAAAATGTAGCGTGACCCAGATACACATCAGTAATAGCAAAGGCAGTGGGTCTAAAGCAGTGTCAGCATTACTTATACTTCAAAATTATTCCTAATTTTGCAACTCCATTTTTAATTAACACTAAATTAGTCATCATGTCATTTAGTTGAATGATGGCTAGACTGCTTGAAAAATAAACCTGTACAGACTTTTGTAATTTTATGTAATTGTATTTGTGTAATCCTTATTAAAGCTAGATAATGTTAATTTCAGTAGTATTTCCGGTCTTTGCGTTTGTGATTTTGGTTTTTTGGTGTTTTTTTCCCCTCCCTTTCCCAGAAATTTGCGTGTATCTGTATTATCTCTTTACAATTATATTATGGAACCTATTTCTGTCTGCATTTTTTCAATATGCGATTCAGTTGAGGATGTCATCCTACAGATAACATTAAACTCCTCAGACTAATGAGCAGTATTTTGCCTAGACCAGGTGCCAGTTAGAGTGATCTGTGGCCATTGTTGCCAGACAGAGGAGTATTTTGTGACAGGCAAAAGTACAATGAATGATGAAATGCCCCAGCACAAGCCTTTTTCTGTCACATAATGACTGCTAATCAAAGGCCTACAGCATCTGAGGAATGCAATGGGCGTAAAACTGCTGCAAGGTCATAAAACTGTCCCCAGACTAGACACCACTGCACTGTGGAAATTCTTACCAAAAACTACAGAAATCGTATTAGTCTGTGTGTAGCAGAAAAAGGTGTGTCGTACCACAAAACATTTATAATTGGATGTTTTTAACATTTTTCCAGTCCATATTGCTTACTTTATGTTGAATGTGTTGTAAAAACCATTTCTTTCGCTAATATAATAGCCAACAGAGGACAGTCAGCTGAGATTGTTCTGAGATTAGTGATAGAATGATGAGAAGAAAAGCGTTATAAGAAGTAAAGTATGTCATGCTTTCCTTATCATTCTCAATACCTGTAATACTGTGCAGTATTGAAAACCTCTCCTATCACAAATCACAGTGTCCTGTAGTTCCCATGATGGAAATGCACTCTTGCATCATGTTTAATATGACCATGATGAAATGAGCATTATCCTTCCGTTTCAAATGGAATATGTGTAACATAAGTCACACTACTCACTGTAAAAGACACTGGGTTACATAGATTGCGAGTGTCCACACTAACACAGTTCTGCTTTTCACTTCTTCACTGAATTAGTGAAATAAATATGTAGCTGGCATGCACATGGGGGAGACACAAACTAAAACTGCAGCTGCTTCTCTGTCAGTTTCCCTGTAGTTTGGCAGGCACTTCCTTTGTGTAATTGCTTATATGTCCTCTTCTGCTGCATGTTAATTTTAACTTCTTTCCAGTTCATGTATATCTTTGTACCATATTTTCGTCATTCAAATAATGCAATTGCACAAATGCATTACGCTTATATTGACCCTATTGTGTGTATGTTATTCCCATGGCTATTGTCTTCTGGTTCACTAATTATTCAGAGATGAGTAAAAACCTAAAATACAATGCAATGTGTCCTTGTAACTCTGGTATTATCTTAGAACATAGTATGAACTTTTTGGGCTGTATTTGAACATTTCTTCAGTTGCATTTAGAAGTCTCACAAATTAAATAAGGATCACAGAAAGGGTGATCTTAAAGGCACCCTTCAAAAGGTAGTTGAATACTTAGCTGGAAGAAATTACATTCTTTCATTGTGGTAGAAAGTTCTGAAATGGTACATGTCAGTTTCTTTAAACAAGTCTGTTAAGAGGAATACTGTGAATTTGTCTCATCAGTATTTTGCTGGATAATCTGAAAACACTACAAAGAATGGTGGTTCCATTTTGAAAATTGGAGCAACATTTGTAAGATGAGACAACAGCTTTTATTGAACAACCAGTATTGTTGGGAAAATAAGTTTTGTGTGCTAGTCTCTTTGCCATATCATTACAGATACAACAGTGTTGCTGAGGTGCTTCCCTAAATCCAAAAGCAGATGACTTTTTAATGTCTGTGTGGTACTTAAAATGTCTTACTGAAGTAAAAAGAATTTGTCTATTACAACATGCTATTTTTTTTTCTCTGCCTCTTTTTCTTCTTTCATTTTCCTTAGGCTCTAGCAAAGAAGGCTAGAGATGGAAAATTGTTACCGGAAGAGTACCAGGGAGGATCTTTTAGGTAAAACTCTCTAGCAGCATTTAATACATGCAGCATGGATTCAGAACTGTTTTATCCTCACTATTCCACTGTGTTTTAATGCATTGCTTTTAAAGTCTTCCTTCATGTAGGATGAAACTTCATTTGATGATTCTGAGGGCCAAACATACACTGTCTTGTATCACGGCGAAGCAATTACCTTGGTTCAGGTTAATTTCATTTGTACTTGACACTGGCGATGCCGCAACTTGAGTATTGTGTTCAATTTTGGCCACTTCCCCCAAGAAAGACACTGAGGAGCTGGAGCAAGTCCAGAGAAGGGCAAGAGAGCTGGTGAAAGGTCCAAAACACAAGTCTTACAAGGAGCAGCTGGGGGAGCTGGGGTTCTTCAGTTTGGAGAAAAGGAGGCTCAGAGGGAACCTTATCACTCTCTACAAGTACCTGAAAGGAGGTTGCAGTGAGGTGATGGGTGAGGAAAATGGCCTCAAGTGAGGAAATGGCCTCAAGTTGCATCAGGAGTAATTTATATTGGATATTAGGAAAAATTTCTTCATGGAATGGATTGTCAAGTGTTGGAACAGGCTGCCCAGGGAAGTGGTTGAGTCACCATCCCTCGAAGTGTTCAAAAAGCTTGTCCATATGGCACTTAGGGACATGTTTTAGTGGCAAGCATGGTGGTGCTGCCAGTTGATGGTTGGACTTGATCCTAAAAGTCTTTTCCACTAAAAGTCTTTTCCAACCTGGTTCTGTGATTCTGTGATTCCAGAACTGGATGCAGTACTCCAGGTGGGGTCTCACCAGAGCAGAGGGGCAGAATTACTTCCCTTGACCTGCTGGTCACACCACTTTTGATGCAGCCCAGGATACGGTTTGCCTCCTGAGCTGCGAGCATGCATTGCTGCCTCATGACCAGCTTTTCATCCACCAGCACTCCCGAGTCCATCTCTTCAGGGCTCCTCTTGGTCAGTTCACCCCCCAGCCTGTATTGATATCAGGGGTTACTATGCCTCAGGTGCAGCACTTTGCACTTGGACTTGTTGAACCTTATGAGATTCCCATGAGCCCAGTTCTGGAGCTTGTCCAGGTCCCTCTGAATGACATCCCATCCCTCAGGGTTGTCAACCAAACCACTCAGTTTGGTGTCATCTTCAAATTTGTTGAGAGTGCACTCTATCCTACCATCTGTGTCACTGATGAAGACATTACACAGCACTGGTCCCAGTATAGACCCATGAGGGTCACAACTTGTCACACACAGGTTGCCCAGAGAGGTGGTAGATGCCCCATCCCAGAAACTTTCAAGGTCAGGTTGGAGGGGGCTCTGAGCAACTTGATCTAGTTGAGGATGTTCCTGCTATTTGCAGGAGAAGCTGGGCTTTAAATGTCCCTTCAAACCCAAACTATTCTATGATTCTTTACAGTTTAATTGTTTTTCCACTCTTTGCCATAATTATAACCCAAAGGAGGAAATGGTGTGTCAGCTTTCTCAACTGACAATCTGTCACAAAAGAGTCTAAGCCTCTCCTTATATACCATTTCTCAGTTGGTGACACAGACAGAAATGTTCAGGGGAGAAAGGTACAATGATGTTTTCCTGTGCCTCAGTGATACCTAGATGCCCAAATTGTGTCACCTGGTGGATATCAGCAGCCATTCTAACTTGACGTTGTGAGATTCAGTCTAGAAGACATTTGGCTTGGAACAGGGATAGGCAAGGTGTATTTAAAGTCATTGCTTTGCTGGCCTACTTTCTGCCTTTAGTGTGTGTTGTGCCAGAATATATCACTGTACAAAAATGGGACTTTTACAAAGGTGCATTATTTGTAATTGCAAAAATCCCAAACTCTTGAGAGTCTAAACGTACTCAACTGAAAACAGTTCAGATCTGTTTTTAACTTAATGGGTTTTGCCTTAGAAGAGATTTAGATCATAGTACTCATTGAATATAGATTATTTCTTCTAGGGAATATGCAATTTCTGATGTTACTGATAACTCTTTTCTCTTTCATTCAGTATCTCCAATCTGGGCATGTTTGGCATCAGTGGTTTCACTGCAGTGATAAACCCTCCTCAGGCCTGCATCCTAGCTGTGGGCCGAGCAAGACCAGAGCTCAGGATTGTGGAAGATGAAGAAGGGAATGAGAAACTTGAACAGCATCAGCGCATGACAGTGACTCTTTCAAGTGATGGTCGAGTGGTGGATGATGAACTGGCTTCCAAGTTTCTAGAGACCTTGAAAGCCAACATAGAGAATCCAATACGACTTGCCTTATCTTGAACTTGGTGAAGATTGCTTCCTGTTTTGACAACATAGATAACAATTATATACTTAGGGTTGTTTTTCTGTATAGAGGAGTAAATAGCTGGAAACGGACAGTTAAAAATATTTAAATTATGAATTAATGTGAAACACTTAAGTTTCATGCTTTTAGTCTTCTGTAATGACCAGGTTTTATACTGTAAAACTAAGAGACTTTAAAGTTAACTTACTACATTTCTTTAAACTTTTAGTACCAATGGCACATGTTTGCATAGGAAAGTCAATCTCTTATGTAAAATAAAACTCAATAAAACTTTATGGAATTTAAAAGGGAATAATAGAATAATTTGGGTTGGAAGAGACTTTTAAAGGTCATCTAGTCTAGCTTCCCCTGCAATGAGCAGAGACATCTTCAGAGCCCTGTCCAACTGACCTTGAATGTTTCCAGGGATAGGGCATCTACCACCTCTCTGGACAACCCGTGTTTCACCAACCTCATTGCAAAAATCTTCTTCCTTATATCTAGTTTGAATCTACCCTTTTTCAGTTTAAAACCATTACCCTTTGTCCTATTGTAACAGGTCCTGCTAAAAAGTTTGTTCCCATCTTTCTTAGAAGCCTCCTCTAAGTATTGAAAAAAACACAAGTTAATTGTGCCAGCAGTGTTCTCATGGAGGTCCCAATATGAAAGGTCAGATTTTGCACAGTGAATATTTGCTGATTAATGCTGTTCTTTGCATGTTTTGGATATAGATAAAAGTAGAAAGTGTTTCAGCATCAGTGTATATTGAATTGTAACTCAGAGGCTCAAGTGCAGTGACCTGAAGTTTAAATTAACAGAAGTCAATTGGTATTTTTCTTATATGTAAATATGGAACTACGTATTGTATGTATTTGTTATGAAATAACTGTGTTTACAGGACCTCATGAGAATATAAATTGTCAGTAGAATTATGGGAGTTTGTCTTATTCTGGTTTGTGCAAGTACTTTTTTTTAATGATTTGTAGGACTTAATTATGGCAGCAGCTCAACAAGTAAAAAGCTAATTGCAAGACAAAATTTTTAGTTAATACTGTGTTGAGAGTTTTTGCTAAATGAGCTTACTTTCTTTAGCTTGTTCTGATATTGTAAATTTCATAGATTATTAATCTGACAGTTGGGAGAGATTTTGATTACCAGATCTAGTTTACTGTGCAGCAACAGACATATCCATTCTGTATTTCCAGGAGTTAATCACTGATAAACTATATTAAAGATTGGGTGCCGAGGATTAATTTGCAATTTGAAATGATTAACTGTTAATTTTTCCAAAGCTTTTTGTCAATGCCGTATTACTTTGTGGAAAAAACCCCAATTTATATGTTTTCCTTACTGTACAATAAGCTGTCATTATTTGCATAACTAAATCTGCTCTGCCCAAGGGATTTCGGAGACAAATTTAAAACCTGATATACTGCTTTTCATTTTTGTACATGGTGCTCTAGTGGTGCTGTGTGCTCCCCAGCATTGTATGTCGTGCTCCCACAGTTAAGGGCTGTGTGGCTGATGTTTGCAGCTGTAGTTTTACATGTGTGTGTTCACATAGTGGGAGTCAGTGTTTTACTTCTGCTTTTGGAGCCACTGGAAGGCGCTGTTGTATATAAGTACACCATGTGTGTCCTGTCTCATTTCTGTGGGTGCTCAGACATCCATTGTGCTTTCCCTGTAGACAGTGCAGCCTCTTCTGCAGGTTAAATGAACCTTTGTAACTTTTGAACTGGACAGATCTCAGGAGGGCTAATACAGGCTTGAATTTCAGTTTCTTTACACCTGCTTGCTTGCCAGCATTGTCAGTTGAAATGGATATGATTCATCAGTCATCAGCCTGTGAAGGAAATGTATGGAATTCAGACATGTGATAGAAGTCAGGTCTCGTTAATTCAGAGTAAGATTACTGTTTGATAACATCTTCCATTTAAACAGAAGTAAGACAACAAATACATACCCATGCAGATGAAAATTAAACGTTCAATATCTTCTTGGTGATTTGGGGTAAAATGTCCTGGAAAGTGAATCATATGTGGTGGTTATGTTTACTTTTGAACCAAATTTGCCTCAAAGTAAAAATTTCAGAGATGAAAAATATAGCTTTTTATGTTTTATTCTTTCAAATGTCTCCTGTCAGGCTAAGCTAAGCTAAAAATACGATGAAGACATCTGCTTTCTTGAGTAATTTAGAAAAAAAAACTAAGGAGTAGACTAATATCTGCTGGAAATGTGTGCCTTTAGGATACTTACTATCTTTATATCATTTTTCTTTGCAGGACACATGATTAGAAAAAAATAAAGGGTAGCTATTTTGGATTTTGTCATTGCTGACAAATCTTGAACTCTGTGTCACACTTTAATCCCTAATTACGCTGTCAGAATATTTGACTTTTGGGGATTTTTTTTTTTCCTGCAGTGTATTCTTATGAAATAAAATTTCTATAACTTCCTGCTTGATACTGTATCCTGCACTCCAGGATAAAGCTGACCCTTTTGGCTGCCAGGACACACTGCTGACTCATTCAATGATGTTCTGTTCCATTTGTCCTTAAAATGTTGAAGGCATAGAGAGCAGATTCCTTTTAAGTCGGTATGGCAATCACGTCCATAAGAGAGTAAACAAAAAAAAAATCCAATCAGCTGAAAGTACCTTTCAACATGTTCTTAGTTAAGTGTAAGTTTTAAACTTATAACCTCTGGGGATTTCTTTCTTTGTAGTCCTGCTTAAGTAAAGCAGGAGGATGTTCATGGTAGCCTGCTAGAGATGTGTAGAAACATGCTAAACTGTAAGTGTTCCAAGAAACACAGAAACCTAGGATTTGGGTGAAATCACGTGTGTTGATTAAACTGAGGTGAAAATCAGTTACTGGAAGCTTGACTGGCTACTTTGCACAGTTACTTTCCAAAACTGCCTAACCTGTGTCAGTGTAAAACCATCACTGTTTGCTTGAATTCAGTTTGCACTCCTTCCCTTTTACGTCAATTTTGCTTGAACTTAAAGTATCATAAATTATTTAGATACAATAACCATATTGTTCTTCCCTCACTCCATAATAGTGGTCCTCCCTGGCAAGTTAAACATTTGTGTCATTATGAGAAATAACTGGCTGGAAAATGACAGACTTTTCTGTTTGTTCAGTACCTGTAGTAAGGAAAATGAGTAATGCTATGTTAATGAATACCACTTTTTATCTCCTAAAAGATTAGAGATGAAGAGAAGATTCTCTTTTATAACTTGGAAGTTTCTCTCACATGGGCTAGACCTAGATAGGAAGAAAGGGCAGCTGTGAACATTTTTATTTCTGTTCACTGTTGTATGAAAAATATGCTGAATTGTTAGAGCAGCAGGTCTCCTCTCCTACATTTTTGTGATTTCTGTGTTTTCTATGTAACTTTCATTACCACACGCTGTTCACTTCACTTGGCAAGGGATCCAAACTATTGAACCTTTTAGGATACTCCCCATTTGACCTAGTGATCAATTAATTCCTGTTTCAGCTGCCTATCTTAAGAAAATAGCTATGTTTCATTTTGAAACTTTGATGCACTTTTAATTTCTTCTCTGCCAAATAGATTATAAGCTTAAATATCCGTGGAGGGTGTTTGCTTGTGCAGATGCTCGTACTTGCTGTGTCATTTCCCAGTCTCCATAAGCAGCATGCACTGACTTTTTCTAGGTTTCAGCAGACAGTAGTACTCTGTTTCCTCTTCCTTGCATGGAGAATAGGAACTGTAGCAGATCCCTTGGTTGATCAGGAAAGGAACTCTTCTTACACTCTTCTAAAGTCTGAGAATTCTGGCTTACAGTGTAAATTTCACCCAGTATTCTGAGTGCAATACATTACTTACTTATTCTAGAATTCTAGGCAAGGATTCTAAAGCATCTTTGCTATTCACTTTATAGTACACATAATGCACAGATTCAAATGAAAGTAACATTAATTTCTCTCCTCCCCCCAAAATATTTAGTAGTCTTTCTTCTCTCTATTCCTATTTTGAACCTAATATAGCTGTCAAAGTGTTCAAAGCAGGTTGTGTCTTAACCTTATAACAAAGGCTAACGATTCTGAGTGACTCCCAGTCTGGAGCAGAAGAAACACGTTGGGATATGCAAAGTTATCCTAAATAATGCTATAAGGTACATCCTTGGCTGCTATTCATATATATTTGTATGCTATCTGACAGGCTTCAGCTACTCAGACAGCTGCAGGTGGAGGCTATAAAGAGAGGGTCCAGGCCCTCTTATTGAAATGGATAATACTAATAAAGGAGAAGAAATGTGATAATTGAAGTTGAGCTGTTGGGACTATCTCAAATATTATTCATATGGCTTAAATATTAAGTGTGATCTGAGCTGAGAGAGAGGCATTTTATCCAAAGACTACATTTGGGCAGTTGCAGGAAAACATCTTTAATTTTGAAGACAATCCCTATTGCGCAGGGTAGAAAAGACATAAGAAAGTCAAAAGAAAGTAGTCTTCATCTGTACTTGAACTCAACTTTCTTTGTATAAGCATTATATCTGTTTTATTGATTATCCAGGAATGCCTGGATATCTTTAAGCCATAAAGTATAAGCATGACCTCTGTCCATGTAATTGGGTTAGGCATACTCTGAAGGAAATAATACTTCAAAATTTTAACATTCCGTGATGCATTTAAGAAAGGGGATTTTACTTCTTGGACCTTCTTTTAAAAGAGGTACATGCTTTGCATGTGTGTGTGTGCCCGTGTGTAACCTCTGTACATGCGGGGATGGACTGGTAAAGAGGGGCCAGCTGCTGTTTCAGGCACGTTTGTTAAAGCTTTTCAGATTCGGGCTGCAGAAGGAACAGAGGCAGGCTTCTGAATTCCCCTGCTGAGACTTCAGCATTTCTGCTTTAATGTGTGTGTGCCAATGTATGGGTGTACAGGTACAACACTGAGGGAGGCCTAAGAGAAACCTGCCCTGATTACATTTGAAGAAACTAATTGCAACATTGCATCTGTTGCTCAAACACAAGTGATGAGACAGGTGCAATGATAGCTAGGAGCAATTACTCTTGGCTAAGAGACAGACCCTGAAGGATCTATGAAGCAATCTTTGTGTGAGAACACAGGCTTCCCTTATATGCACCTCATCACAGCGTTTTGGGGGATGTGGTGGTAGAAAGAGTTCTGTGAAAATAATTTGTCCAGTGCGCCTGGAGAGGTTTTAAATATTTATTTTTGTTAAATAATAAAAAGACAATGAACTAAGCAAGTAAAACATACAATTGTTGCAGAGTATTTTACAAAACTTGTGGATAAGTCTAACAGTCCAGAAAGGGATATTCTAGAAAACATATGGTGTTAGGACTGATTTAGACATAGGCTAAGCCATTATTTTTCTCTGCACTTTCCTCAACCTGAGTCTGGTTTAAATTTAAAGCTGTTTAATGCAGTGATTGTCCCTTTGTGGATGTGCACTATATCCATCTCAGGAGTGTGTGTGTGTGTGTGTATATACCATTTATATCAAACTAGTCATGGATGGTAATTGCCAATTTACTTTCAATTTCAGAGTTGACTAGACAGACATCAATGCCACAGGAAATGCCATCTTTAAAACAACAATAACAAACAAGACAAACAAAAATCCAAGCAGCAAAACAAACTACCCCTACTGAGTAGCCATAATGCTTGCTCCACTGAGACATCAGTTTGTCTAACTAGTGACACAAAAGCAAGAGAGATTAGGACAGGAAAACAGTAACTCTGTCGAGAACTCAGTGACAAAAGAACTCTGGATTCTTGCATACTTAAAGGCTGTGAGGATGGGGACTGTTTGTTTTGGGCTTTTTTCAGTTTTCAGATTAATTAAACACAGAAAAATGTGGGTTTGTCTTGTTAAGTGACAATTTTTTCCCATAGCAACCACAAGTTCTAATTAAAAACTCTACAATGTGTTCTTTTGACTCTGGAAGTTATAGACGTTTCTTCTGAAGTTTTTGTGGTACTAAAAATAAATGTTTTCATGTGGTTTGCTATTATTTTTGTGATCTTTTAGAATACTTGGCTGGAGTTTCATAAGTGAAGAGCATATTAAACAATTATAGATTGCAATTTCATTTGCTTGAGGTATGCAACTGCTAGGTAAGTTTTCTGGAATAGGTGCCAATGTCACCAATGATAGGAAATGTAAAAATGGCCTTTTTGTAGGCTCTAAACCAAGTGAGAACAACAACTAATTTTCTTTTACTCAATTTTCTTTTTTTTCCACTTAAAATTAGTTTCAGTGTCCTGAAAAAATTGGTGGCCTAGTTTACCACAACATTTATAAATACACTGATGTTCTCACAAAATTGTGGGTTATATCTATACATAAAAATGTTTTTGTGAGAATTCCTATGAACATTTCAAAAATATTCAATTGCACAAGTTTTGTTTTAGATGTAGATTTGTATAAATAATAAAATGTATGCATAAAGATTATTTTAGTACTGACCACCACTTTTAAAATAAGAGGTCATCTTTATGTCAGTTGTTTAAATCATTTGAAGAATTTCTTATCTGGCACTGCTTAGTCAGTTTTTCCGACAATCCCAGAATGCCTTGACTCACCTCATCATGAGTTACTAGGAACTTATGTTATCTCTGACATCCTTATACAAACAGACTGTTTTACAATGAAAGCATATTTGGACTTGGAAGTAAACTTCAACTTTTTTTGAAGCCTGTGAGGAGTAAACTTTCTCAGAAAGAGTTAAAG